GCGCCCTAAATGTTTACTTATTTATTTTGAGAGGAGTGGGAAGGGCAGAGAGAGAGGGAGAGAGAATCCCAAGCAGGCTCTGAGCTGTCAGCACAGAACCCGACCTGGGCCTCGAACTCATAAACCGTGAGATCATGCCATGAGCTGAAATCAAACTGGACATTCAACCAACTGAACCACCCAGGCGCCTCAGAACATATTTATCTACTATGGGCCTGCTCAGTGCCAGGAGAGTTCCAGTCGTCGTTCACCAGCCTCCTGCACTCCCACGTGGGGGTGGGAGGTGGGGGAGTGGGGGTGGGAGGTGGGGGAGTGGGGGTGCAGCATCACAGCCCCTTCAGGATCTATGCATCAGAATGTACACTTAAAGAAGCTCTCCAGGGGTGCCTGGGTGGCTCAGTCGGTTAAGCGTCCGACTTTCACTTAGATCATGATCTCGCAGTTCTCGTGGGTTCGAGCCCCGCATCGGGCTCTGTGCTGACTGCCAGCTCAGAGCCTGGAGCCTGTTTTGGAGTCTGTGACTCCCTCTCTCTCTGACCCTCCCCTGCTCACGCTGTCTCTCTCTCTCTCTCTCTCCTAGAAATAAAAAAAAATAAAACATTAAGAAAAAAAAAAGAAGAAGAAGCTCTCCAGAGGCGCCTGGGTGGCTCAGTTGGTTAAGCGTTAGACTTTGGCTCAAGTCATGATCTCACGGTTTGTGGGTTTGAGCCCCGCGTTGGGATCTGTGCTGACAGCTCAGAGCCTGGAGCTGCTTCGGATTCTGTGTCTCCCTCTCCCTCTGTTCCTCCCCTGCTCATGCTCTGTCTCTGTCTCTCTCTCAAAAATAAATAAACATTAAATTTTTTTTGTATAAAAAAATAAAATAAAGAAGCTCTCCGTGGGACTTGAGAGGGTGCATTATAATTTGAGAAGCACCTCAATGAAGGGTCATTAGATCGACTGGTCCTGGGTTCGAATCCTCCCTCTGCCAGCTGTGGGCCTGTGGACAAGTGTTTGGAACTTTGCAAACTCCCCTACAAATTGGCAAGAAATATCAGGACTTATTTCTTTGGGCTACATGGCCTAGGGGTTGCTTTTCTTACCTATTGTTCATGTAACAAATTACTGCAAATTTAGTGTCTTAAAACAATGCAAATTTCTTTTCGCCATTTTGGAGGGCAAAAGTCCAAAATAAGTCCCAGTAAAATAAAATCCGTCTGTTGCCTGAATTGTACTACTTCTGGAGGCTCTAAGGGAGAATCCATCTCCTTGCCTTTTCCAGCTTCTAGAAGCTTCCTGCATTCCTTGGTTCAGGGCTCCTTCCTCCTTCTGAAGACATTTTTCCAAAGAAAACATATATAGCCAATAGGTACATGAAAAGGTGATCAACTAATCATTAGGAAAATGCAAATAAAAACCATAGAATATCACCTGACACGTGTTAAAATGGCTATTATTTTATTTTATTTTATTTTATTTTATTTTATTTTATTTTATTTTATTTTGAGGGAGAGAAAGAGCTTGAGCAGGGGAGAGGGGCAGAGGGAGTGAGAGAGAATTTTAAGCAGGCTCCATGCCCAGTGTGCAGAGTCCAACATGGAGCTCGATCCCACGATCCTGGGATCATGACCTGAGCTGAAATCAAGGGTCGGATACTCAACCGACTGAGCCCCCAGGTGCCCCAAAGTGGCTCTTATTAAAAAGACAAGAGGAGCACCTCAGGGGCTCAGTCGGTTGAGCAACCAACTTCAACTCAGGTCGTGATCTCGCACTTGTGAGTTCAAGCCCCACCTTGGGCTCTGTGCTGACAGCTCAGAGCCTGGAGCTTGGTTTGGATTCTCTCTCCCTCTCTCTCTGCCCCTCCCTTGCTTGCTCACTTTCTCTCAAAAATAAATAAACATTAAAAAGAAAAGACAAGAAATAACAAGTGTTGGGGAGGGTGTGGAGAAAAGGGAGCTCTCATGTACCGTTGGTGGGAATGTAAATTGGTACAGTCTCTATGGAAAACAGTATGAGGGTTCCTCAAAAGATTAAAAATAGAACTACTATAGGGGTGCCTGGGTGGCTCAGTCGGTTAAGCGTCGGACTTCAGCTCCAGTCATGATCTCACAGTTCATGGGTTCGAGCCCCACGTCGGGCTCTGTGCTGACGGCTCGGAGCCTGGAGCCTGCTTCAGATTCCATGTCTCCCTCTCTCTCTGACCTTCCCCTGCTCACAGTGTCTCTCTCTCTCAGAAATAAATTTAAAAAAATTTAAAATAGAACTACTATAACCCAGCAATTACACTTTTGAATATTTACATGAAGGAAACAAAAACACTAAATTGTTTTTTTTTTTTTTTTACAAATAGTTTATTGTTAGTTTCCACGTAACACCCAGTGCTCATCCCCACAAGTGCCCTCCTCCATGCCCATCCCCCCTCCCCCTCCCCCCCACCCCCATCATTCCTCAGTTTTTGTCAGCATTCAAGAGTCTCTCATGGTTTGCCTCCCTCCCCCTCCCCCACCACTTCCCCCCTTCTTCTCCCCCATGATCCTCAGTTAAGTTCCTCCTAATCCTCCTATATGTGCAAACATATGGTATCTGTCCTTCTCTGCCTGACTTATTTCGCTCAGCATAACACCCTCAAGGTCCATCCATGTTGCTACACGTGGCCAGATTTCATTCTTTCTCATTGCCATGTAGTATTCCATCGTGTAGATAAACCACATCTTCTGGATCCATTCGTCCGTTGATGGACAACTTAGGCTCTTTCCATGTTTTAGCTATTGTGGAGAGTGCTGCTATGAACCAAAAACACTAATTTGAAAAGATAAACACATTCTCATGTTCATTGCAGCATAACTTACAATAGCCAAGATATGGAAACACCCCAAGTGCCCACGACGGATGAATGAATACAGAAAACGTGGCATGGATATACAATGGAATTTTAGCCAGAAAAAAGAACAAAATCTTGCCATTTGTGACAACATGGATGGACAGCAAGGGCATTAAGTGAAATAAGTCAGAGAAAAGCAAATACAGTATGATCTCTCTTGGATGTGGGATCTAAACAAAAGTGTAAGCAAAAAGAGGCCTAGCAAAGTCACAGATAAGAACTTAAGGTGCTTGGGGCACCTGGGTGGCTTAGTCGGTTAAGCATCCGACTTTCGCTTAGGTCATGATCTCGCGGTTCATGGGTTTGGGCCCCGCGTCGAGCTCTGTGCTGACTGCCAGCTCAGAGCCTGGAGCCTGTTTCAGAGTCTGTATCTCCCTCTCTCTCTGACCCTCCCCTGCTCACGCTGTCTCTCTCTCTCTCTCCTAGAAATAAATAAAAATATTTTTTAAAAAATCTTAAAAAAAAAAAGAACTTAAGGAGCTTGCCAGAGGCGGGGGGTGGGGGGAGAAATGGATGAAAAGGGTCAAAAGAGAAAACAAAACCCAAATGAACCTTAGCTACCATGCCACTATCACACCTAGAAAAGTCAACAACAGGAGCACCTGGGTGGCTCCACTGGTAGGTGACTCTTGATTTAGGCTCAGGTCATGGAGCCAGTTTGGGATTCTTGCTGACTCTCCTCCACTCATGCTCACCAGCTCACTCGCTTGCTCTCTCTCTCAAAATAAATAAAGTAAAGGGCGCCTGGGTGGCTTAGTCGGTTAAGCGTCCGACTTTCGCTTAGGTCATGATCTCACAGTTCGTGGGTTCGAGCCCCGCGTCGGGCTCTGTGCTGACTGCCAGCTCGGAGCCTGGAGCCTGTTTCAGTCTGTGACTCCCTCTCTCTCTGACCCTCCCCTGCTCGCACTGTCTCTCTCTCTCTCCTAGAAATAAATAAAATATTTAAAAAAAAAGTAAAATAAAATAAAAAAAATAAAATGTTTAAAATAAATAAATAAATAAATAAATAAAGTAAAAAAAAAAAGTCAGAGGTGCTCAGGGGGGTGGTGTTCAGGGTTAAGTGTCCAGCTTCAGCTCAGGTCATGATCTCATGGTTTGTGAGTTCGAGCCCCCCGTCAGGCTCTGTGCTGACAGCTCAGAGCCTGGGGCCTGCTTCAGATTCTGTGTCTCCCCCTCTCTCTTTCTCAAAAATAAATAAACATTTTTTTTTTTTTAAAAGTCGACAACAGCTCCTTTATATCTTCTCATGCCTAGACACCTTCACACTTCCCTGGCGGTCTGAACCGCCGGTCCCTTTCTTGCACCTGACCCCCTTATTCGATGCTGCAAACTATCCACACCTGCTCTCCCCTTCCCATTCTCCACGTTTTCTCTCTAGCACCTGACATCTTCTACTCTGCCATAGACTTTATCATGTGGTCTGTCTTCCCTCCCCAAACCCATGGAAAATGTCACGAGGTCCGCTAGGTCACGGATTTGTGTTTTCTTCTTTGCTGGTACAGAGCCAATTCTCAAACAAAACGGAGTTAAGTCATCAAGTGCTCCATTTACTGCAAACTTTCTAATGGCACCATTAGCCTTACAATCCTAGGACGCGGATGGCGTTTTTAAGGAAACAAAAGTCGTGGAGGGTTGGTTTGGGCTGCACCGGATTCTCCCCTCAACACTGTGCTAGCTCTCAGGATGACGTCAGAGCCCCGTAGCCCAGGCCCCTAGGGGATGCGCCACCGTGGGTCCCCAGGCCCTCGCTCCCGTGTCCCTTCCCACGTCCCCCACACGTGCGGGGCTGGACGGGGGGCTGGCTCCTTAGGGTCCTGCACGGTCCCCTCCCTGGTCTGCGTGCGGGAGCCAGGGAAGGTTCTCGCGCAGGGGAGAGGTCAGGGCCAGCGCTTTCTCCGTGGGCTCTGCGGGCTTGTCCCGCCCTCTCCAGTCACCCCTCTGGGGAACGAGAGGCGGGGCGCGCGGGCACAGCCTCCAGCGAGAAGCGAGCTCGTCGCCCCTGGCGACTGAGGCCCTACTAACCACCGAGTCGAGGCCCGAGGGTGCAGAGCGGCCGCCGTGGGCCAGCGAGGCGCGGTGAGCTAGAGAGGCAAACCGGGTCGATTGTCACGTGGGCGTCCGCGCGAAGGTGAGACTTCCGGCAACGCAGTATTTTCTTTCCGGTTGTTGGCTCTTGCCGGCCCCACCCCGACTGGGCCCTGCGCCCCCCGCCCCCCGCGGCCCACTGCCGCCGGGCCCGCTGCCACCATGAAGAAATTCTTCCAGGAGATCAAGGCTGACATCAAGTTCAAGAGTGCGGGGCCTGGTCAGAAGCTCACGGAGTCTGTGGGGTGCGTGACCGGAGCTGGGTCCTGAGATCCAGGGGGAGGGGCGGGGAGGGGCGTCTGAGGGTGGGGAGAGGCCTTTGGGGGCGGGGCACGGGGGGCGAGGGTGAGCGTAAGGGGGAGGGGTGGCCTCCGGGGGCGGGGTCCGGGGGAGCGGGGCCCGAGGGGGCGGGGCTGGAGGCGGGGGTTAGGGGGCGGGGTTGCTAGTAGATGGGGGTCCGGAGAGAAGCCGTAGGGGAGTGGGCGGGGGGGCGGAGAAGGGGCCCTGAAGGGGCATCTTCCAGTTTTGGGGGCGGGGGGTCTGTGTGTACAGAGGTTGGACCCAGAGCCGGGAGAAGCGAGTACAGCTGGGGTTGTAAAGAGGGGAGAGGCTTAGCATCCGTGGCCAGCGGGGTCTGGGCCCCGGTTGTGGAGCGTGAGGGAGGACGGCGTGAGAGAGTTTAAGGCCAGGGAGCCTGAGGCGGTGTTGGAAGAGGTCTCAGAGAATGGGTTGGGCGCGGGTTGAATTCGCTTAGGAAGGTCTGGGAGGGAAGGGGGGAGTGGAGGTGAGGGCTGGAGGCCCCTGTGTCAGGGAGGAGATGGGGGCCTTGTGGGTGATGGTTGCCGCAGAAGGGAGATCCCGAGAGAGACGTGGGAGGAGAGGGGAGGAGAGGGAGGGACGGCGGGTGCACGTCCAGGCCTCTGGCTTGTCCGGGGAGGCGCGGGACACTGAGGGCCACGCTGGGCTGAGACAGAAGCTCAGTGGATCGAGCAGTTGAAGTGCAGAGGGGGTGTGGGGCTTTGGGGACTGAGGGGGTGGAGGGAGGGGAGTGGGTGAAGCAAGATGTCAGCGTGGGGTGGGGCCTGTGCCGAATAATGGAGGGGATTGTAAAGAGGTGGGGCGCGAGGGTTAGGGGGGAGGCAGGGAATCGGGAAGCAGCCGGGGCCGGTGAGGGAGAGTGGGTGCATGACATCCGGGCACCTGTCACGGGGATGGAGGCTCCCAGGAGTGGGACGAGGGGGTCCCCGGAGGGCCTGGGCTCATGAGTCAAGGGGGGAGACCCCGTGGACAAAGTCCTGGGAGCGTGAGCGGGGAGAGCGGGGGCCAGGCAAGGGGTCCATTCATTTGTGGGCAAGCAGTGGTGGCCGGTGCGGCTGGGACCGAGTGTGGCAGGAAAGACGTGGGGGCCGGTGGGGGTAGCTGTGTGAGAGGGGAGGCCCGGGAGCAGAGAAGAGGGGAGTCGCTCGGAGATTCAGGCTTCTGTGACACACTCGGGGCAAGACTGGAGGCTCAGTGGGTGTGATGGGCGCTGTCCCCACAGGGATCAGAGAAAGTTCCTTCCGTCCCAGGGCTCACCTTCTAGTGGGGAGAGAAGGACAGTAACCCAGTACACGGATGCGGGAAGGGCAGCTAATACTCAGGGCCCAGGAGAAGACTGAGCAGGGCCAGGAGATAGCAGCGCTCGGGGACCGTTAAGTGGTCCCGGAGCGTCTCTCTGAGAAGGACACATTGGAGCCGAGCACTGGATGAGGCGAGGCTCAGCCATGTGGGAATCAGTCACCTACACACAGACACACACACACCGAAGCAGCCCCAGCTGCACCCAGACTTCTTTCCTCATCCCACCCCGAGACTGAGGTGTTCGGCCAGAAGGTGCAGAAAGTGCAAAGGCACTTCTGTGGTCGGAGCCAGTAGGGCCTGCGGGAGCGACAGCAGGAAGGAGTGTAGAGTGAGAGGTGTGAAGGAGGGGCGCGGGCAGGTTGTGAAGCGCCTGCTGGCCCAAGGGGGCCCCAGGAATGTGCTGTGCGTGTGGCCGGAGGGCTCAGTGCAGGGGAGGGACGAGCTGTGGCTTAAGGTTTAGAAGGATCCCTGTGTCTGCCCGGGGGAGCCTCAGAGAGCATAGGCGCGGCGTCTTGAAGAGGATATTTTTCCAGAACTAGGTAATCACGTGGGGCTGGGGTGTGGCTGCGTGATTCGTCTTTCCTTCACCCTGAGGTGGTCAGTGGCGGGCAGAGGGGCGGCTCCCAGCACCCCTGGGACATGCAAAGCGAGCTGCCTCTGTATCTGAGCAGAGCAGGAGTGAGGCCACGAGTCACGAGCCTTGGCTCCTAAGAAAGTTCTGGAGAGGGGCGCCTGGGTGGCTTAGTCGGTTAAGCGTCCGACTTTCGCTTAGATCATGATCTCGCGGTTCGTGGGTTCGAGCCCCGCGTCGGGCTCTGTGCTGACTGCCAGCTCGGAGCCTGGAGCCTGTTTCAGTCTGTGACTCCCTCTCTCTCTGACCCTCCCCTGCTCGCGCTGTCTCTCTCTCTCCTAGAAATAAATAAAACATTAAAAAAATATATTAAAAAAAAAAAACCACAGAAGAGAGAGGTATGAATAATTATTGTTGCTAAAAACTTAACACCACACTAACACTTCCTTCTCTCCCATCCATCTACAAGTTTTATTAATTATGCTGATGCAATCCAAAGGTTCTGAACCTAGGGTTTGTTGGCTANCGGGCTCTGTGCTGACTGCCAGCTCGGAGCCTGGAGCCTGTTTCAGTCTGTGACTCCCTCTCTCTCTGACCCTCCCCTGCTCACGCTGTCTCTCTCTCTCTCCTAGAAATAAAAATATTAAAAAAAAAAAAGAAAGTTTTGGAGAGGCAGTACAGAGATCTCCAAGTCCCAGGGTCGGAAGAGGGTCTGAGGACAGGAGGGCGAGGCAGGCGAGTCAGTCCAGGGTGCGAGGGAGGACTGCCCCTCTGCAGGGACCGCCAGGTGGCCTCTGTGCTGAGTGGATCGGGAGCGTCCGTCCCGTGTCCGAGTCGCCAGGCGGAGGGGAGGGGACACGCAGCACCCGCCAGGTGGTCTGGCACGCGCCGGGCACACAGTAGGTGCTTCCTAAGTGAGGCCATACGCCTGGCTGTCATAGGGTGGAAGGGCTGTCACTTTGGTGAGGGATCGAGGAGAGGAGTGACACTCGAAGGGGCGCCTCCTCACACGCAGCCGCAGCGGCCGGGTGGGGGGGCGCTCGTGACCCCAGGGCCCAGGCCGGTGCAGGGCTCGCCCCGAGGGCGCAGCTGGGGGCAGGACTGTCGTCAGTCTCCAGAGCTCCTCCTTCCTGTTAGAACCGTCAAGTGGCTGTGGGTGGCCCCTGGCAGAGGGACGTTTCTGTCCGATGGGGCAGAAGTGGGAGAGGGACAGAGGCTCTTCTGCCTGACCCTGTGTCACCCCACCTTCCCCCGTCTCCTCCCAGGGAGAGGGCCCCGAGAGAGAAACCCAACCAGCCGGCGCTCCGGCAGCCCCGCCAGGGACCCACCGATGAGGCGCAGATGGCGGCCGCCGCGGCCCTGGCGCGGCTCGAGCAGAAGCAGCCCAGGGCCCGGGGCCCCACGTCGCAGGAGTCCATCCGGAACCAGGGTGAGCGGTGGCCGTCCCTCCCCCACCCTTCCCGTGCGGTGTGGGAGGGGAACAGGTCTGCGGTAAACTCCCGGTTGTGAGCGTGGGGGGTGCGGGGTAGAAGGTGCAGGGGTGCTGGGGTCCAAGAGGTTGAGGAGGGGAGACGGCAGCTGAGACAGAGCTGTCATTGGTTGAAGCCTGGTGGCGTGGAGAGGTGGCTCGGGCCGGGGGGCCTGAGCAGGGAAAGGGCTAGAACTTGACCCCTTTGGGGTCTGCGGGGGTGAGGTGGGGTGTGCCTGGGGACAGTGCAGGGCCCACAGCCGTCCCATCTCCTGCCTCTCTCCAGTGAGAAAGGAACTTCGAGCGGAAGCCACTGTCAGCGGGAGCCTGGAGGCCCCAGGGACCAACATGGTAAACACGTCCACGGGCAGCACGATACCCGAGGGGCACCCGCAGACTCGGGCAGTAAGCACACTGCACCAGGCTGGAGGGCACAGAAGAGATGTAAGGGTGGAGAGAGGTCACGTCTGGCCTTGGGCACAAAGGAAGCTTGGGGAGGGGTGCCAGGACAGTGGAGGCAGCTTGTGGCTGGAGGTGCTATTGACTGGGACCTTCACGCTCAGCTCCTGCCCTCTGCTGCTTGTGGGGAGGTGGGAGGGCTCTTCCAACACTGGAGCAATCAGGGAGGTCTTGCTGGCGGAGGTGGGCTTTAAAGGAAAACATGGCAAAAGGGTGTTTTGAGCAGCTTGACCTTTTGAGGTCTCACTGAGGTTTCGGTTTTCTTTTTGTTGTTGTTCATTTAAAAATTTTTTTAAATTTATTTCTGAGAGAGAGAGAGAGAGCAAGCATATGAGCAGGGGAGGGTCAGAGAGAGGAGGAGACACAGAATCGGAAGCAGGCTCCAGGCTCTGAGCTGTCAGCACAGAGCCCAACGCGGGGCTTGAACCCACAAACCGTGAGATCATGACCTGAGCCCGAGTTGGACGCTCAACCCACTGAGCCCCCCGGGCACCCCAAAGTCTCACCAGGTTTTAAGAACAGAAGAGACTGTGGACAAAGCCTAGGAATTGAGGTCCAGAGGGAGGTCTGGGGTCACCCAGGCCGCCGTGACTCCGGAGTCATCCACCAAAGCCCCTTCCTCACGGGGGAGACGGGTGCAGCCAGAGCCGTGGGTGGGTATTTGCTGTGTCCCAAGCTGCTAGTGCTCTTTCTGTCCCTTTCTTGCTTAATTCCGAGGCGGCCGGCCCTGCAGAGCCGTTCACATAGCGGAAGGGGCCCTGTCTCTGGGCCTGGGTGTCCCACGGCTAAGTAAGCAAAAGGGACAGCATGGGGACTGGGGACGTGTGGCTGCCAGAGCCATGCGGTCAGCCGCCTCTGCCCCGCCCCCCAGGTGCCCGAGCCCAAAGAGGAGGGCTCCACCCATCCGGCTGTGCCCGCCGTGTGCTTCACCTGCCCGCTCACGGGGGCCACGCTCACGAAGGACCAGCGCGACGCCCACATCAAGGAGGCCATTCTCTCGGTGAGTGGCGGTCCCGTGGCCCCGCCTCCGGCCCCTCCCTCCAGCGGTCCCGGTGCCAGTGCCACGCCTGGCAAGCCGGGTGGCACGGACCCTCCGTGACGTCCGTGCCTGCTTGTATCGTGTTTGTTTCCGTCTCCCTTCGAAGGCAGGATTCTCAGGGCGCCTGGGGGGCTCAGTCGGTTAAGCATCTGACTTTAGCTCAGGTCATGATCTCGCGGTTCGTGGTTTCGAGCCCCGCATCGGGCTCTGTGCTGCAGCTCAGAGCCTGGATCCTGCTTCCGGTTCTGTGTCTCCCTCTCTCTGCCCCTCCTCTCCTCCTGCTTTGTCTGTTTCTCTTAATCTAAAAAATAAAACATTAAAAAAAAAAAAAACAGACAATTCCCGTGGGGTCTGAAGTTTGGAATACAGACGGGTGGGTGGAGAAAAGCCGCCCCTCACCCACCCCTCCTGGAGGGCGCGAATGTCCCTCTCCAGAGAGAGATTCTAAAGAGAGACACGCAAATGACCCAACACCCCGAATCCCCTTCCCTGGGGCACGAGTTTCCCGATCCTGTCAGAACAAATCACTGCAAAGGTGGAGGTTTCAAACAGTGCCTGTTCCTTGTGTCACGGTCCCTGGGAGCCAGAAGTGGGACGTGGGTCTCGCTGTGCCCAATCAGGGCGGCGGCGGGGTGGCTTCCTGGTGGACCCTCTAGGGGAGCGTGTCCCTTCCCTGCTCCCAGGCTTGTCTGTGTTCCGTGGTGCCTGTCTCTGGCTGTCACCTCTCTTCTCTCTTCCCCGTTAAGGGACCTTGATGTTGCATTTGGGCCCCAGGGATGATCCAGGCTCATGTCCCTATTTTAAGGCCTGAGGATCAGCAACCTCGGCTCCATGAGCCTCCTTAATGCCCCAGGGCGCACCTTGGCGTCTTCATGAGTCCCAGGGGTTGGGATGTGGACATCTGTCAGTCCTCCCCCTGCCGTCACCAGCCATTAACGCTTTTGCCCCGTTCGCTCTGTCGTCCCTTTCTGGTTTGTTCTGAGCCGTTTGAGAGAGTTCTGCATTCTTACTAGCAAACCTTCCTGTACGCTCCGTAGCCGTTTGGCAGCTCTTAGCCCATGAGCGCGTCGGAAGGTCCCCGAAGGTTGCGTGGCGGAACGCCTTGCTGTGGCTACGCCGAGCCGTGGGCCCAGTCCGGGCTCAGACTGAGAACGCGCACACGTGTGCACGTGTGAGCAGGGGAGCCCCAGTGAGAGGGGGAGAGGATCCCAAGCCGGCTCTGCACCGTCAGCGCAGAGCCCGCCACGGGGGCTCGATCCTGCCCCGCGTTGGCTTTAAAATGATTCTTCCATGGTTTTTCTAGTGCTTTTCATTGTTTGTTTTAATTTTTAAAACTCCGATCTGACCAGAGGCGCCTTGGCTGGTTCAGTCGGTTAAGCGTCTGACTTTTGATACAGATTCAGGTCAGGATCTCATGGTTTGTGAGCTCGAGCCCCGCGCTGGGCTCTGCACCGGCGCGGAGCCTGCTGGGGCTTCTCACTCTCCCCGTGCCCCACTCGTGTTCTCTCTCAAAAAAAAAAAAAAAAAATTGGGACAAACACCCCCAACGTCTGACCTGACTAGAAGCTACTGCCCTGGGGAGTATGAGGCATGGAGCCACTAGTTTTCCCCGATAGCTACCTCGTTTTGCTCCCACACGGACACCCCCTTTTTATTGAAAACGCCTGCTTTTTGGTCATCTTGGTGAAATGCATCTTTATCACCAAGTATATTCCTGCATGGATTGCCCTGGGGGCTTCTGGTGGTCCCGAGGGGGGGGTCCCTGAGGGGGTTGCGGTGGTCCCAAGGGGGCGGGGGGGGTCACTCAAGCTGGGGAACACCCCCTCTACCTCTGCTCCATGGACCTGCTTTCTGTGCCTTTCTGTGTCCCTGCCCCCTTCCGTCCCACTGGCAGAGCTGTGAAGGGTGGCTCCCTGGAGGCATAATCTGGGCCGTGATGCCCCCTCTTCCCTAGAGGTGAGGGCGGGGCTGAGGCTCAGGCCGGAGCCACTGAAGGCCTTTCTCCTTTCTCGGCTGGGAGTGTCCGGTGGACTTGGCATCGGTGGAATGGCGTTGGCCTGCCACAGGCGGCTGTCTCTGCGGTCACCTGAGCGGGGGGGCCGGGTGCCGGGGGAGGGCAGCTGAGCGCTTCTGGTGCGTCCCCTCCCTCCCCCAGCACTTCTCCACCGACCCCGTGGCTGCCTCCATCATGAAGATCCACACGTTCAACAGAGACCGGGACAAGGTGAAGCTGGGCGTGGACACCATCGCCAAGTGAGCACCAGGGTGTCCCCCCTGCACCTGCTGGGGGCACCCGGAAGGAGCTGGGCACTGGGGTACAGCCAGGCCCCGCCCTGCACTCCCCCCAAGCCCTCGGGGAAGGGTCCTGGCCTCTCGGGGCCTCAGCTGACCGGTCTGTAAAACGAAGGGGCTCAACAAATCAGGGGTTTCGACCCTCTGCTTTCGTTGGGGATCGTCTCAGGAACGTGGGAAGGGGCAGGTCTGGGGGAGGAGGGACCGCCAGGAAGGCCATGTGGCTTGTGAGCCCCGCCCCTCACCGCAGGGGACGCACAGGCCCCTACTCCCCCACCCCCTGTGCGTTGGTGCCCTCAAGGGAAGGCAGGCAGGACCAAGGCGGCGGGGGGGTCCCAGAGACGCCCGCTCTGGGCTCACGGTCCGCACGCTGCCCCAACCAGGTATCTGGACAATATCTGCCTGCACCCCGAGGAGGAGAAGTACCGGAAGATCAAGCTGCAGAACCGGGTGTTTCAGGTGAGGCTGCGGCCCAGCCTGGGGGTGGCGGCCAGAGCCCCGCGGCCGGAGGGGAGCCGGCGCTTGGGGACCCGGGGCATGTGGGTGTTTTGTCCTCTCCCCACCCCGCCGCGTGTTCTAACGTGGGGCAGTTGGGAAGAGGTCGGCACCGGTGAGACTTTGGGTTTCTGTGGAGAACTCTCGAGATTCCCCCCCACCCCAGCCTGGGTCACTTGCACCACAGTCAGGGCACCTGCTCTCTCCTGGTGACTGTGTTCTGCCTCAAACCCCCGGGCCCCTCCTGCTGCCCCCAGGCGTTTCAGCCTCCTTCCTCGCAGGGGCAGGGGCATTGGCCTTCTGGGGCGCCTCTGCAAGCAGCTGGGGGGGGGGGGCCTGCAGCCTGTGTCACGGCAGGCGTCACGCTCAGCCCCGCGGCCAGCTTCAGCGGCTTCGCCCCCTCAGGGCTTAGCAGTGGCCGGCAGACCAGGGCACGCTGCACCGGCGGGGTGGGCAGCACGGCCAGTGGCCTGGCGGCCCCAGGGCCCTGGTGACTACTCCCCCCCGCCCCCGCCCCAGGAGCGAATTAACTGTCTGGAAGGGACACACGAGTTTTTTGAAGCCATTGGCTTCCAGAAGGCGCTGCTTCCAGTTCCAGATCAGGGTAAGGCAGGGAGCTGGGGGGGAGGGGAGGTGGGCTGGGGGCTCCCCCTGCCGCAGCAGTGACCTGTGCCTGCCCCAGAGGGCCCCGAGGAGTTCTACGTGCTGAGCGAGGCGGCCCTGGCCCAGCCCCAGAGCCTGCAGACGCACAAGGAGCAGCTGCTGGTGGCCGAGCCTGTGCGGGCGAGCCTGGCCCGCCAGCGCCGCGTCTTCCAGCCCTCGCCCCTGGCCTCCCAGTTTGACCTGCCCGGGGACTTCTTCAACCTCACGGCGGAGGAGATCAAGCGGGAGCAGAGGCTCAGGTCGGAGGCCGTGGAGCGGCTGAGCGTGCTGCGGACCAAGGCCATGCGGGAGAGGGAGGAGCAGAGAGAGATGCGCAGATACACGTACACGCTGCTGCGCGTCCGCTTCCCGGACGGCTGCCTCCTGCAGGGTGAGCGCGGCGGGCGGGGGCCGGAGCTGCAGGTGGGTGCTGGGGGTGCTCCCCTGAGCTCTGGCCCCACCGACCGTGCCGCCCACCCAGGCACCTTCTATGCGCGGGAGCGGGTGGCCGCGCTGTACGCCTTCGTCCGGGAGGCCTTGCAGAGCGACTGGCTGCCTTTTGAGCTGCTGGCGTCGGGCGGGCAGAAGCTGTCGGAGGAGGAGAGCCTGGCCTTCAACGAGTGCGGGCTGGTGAGCGAGGGGCCTGCCTGCGGGTGCCTCTCCGGGCGTCCTGGAGGCATGAACTCCAGCCCTGGATGGTGGGCAGCGCAGGGATCCTCGGGCCAGGCTCTTGGGTTCAAGTCCTGCCTTCCTGCCAGCCCCGGGCTGTGGTCAGGCCCCTGCTGTGGGGCGGGGCTGGGCTGATGGCGGGAGGGACACGTCGCGGCCTGAGCCAGGCTGAGGCTTCTGGCCCACCCTGGCAGGTGCCCTCTGCCCTCCTGACCTTCTCGTGGGACGCGGCCGTGCTGGAGGACATCAGGGCCGCAGGGGCTGAACCGGACTCTTCTATTCTGAAGCCTGAGCTCCTGTCAGTCATCGAGAAGCTCTCGTGAAATAAAAGCAGGGTTGGCTTTACCCCGTGTGGGTCTGTCTCATGCTCTCCTGCCGCCTCCACCCTGCCTCCCACCCCCCGGGCACCCTGCTCCTCCAGAACTGCTGGTCCACAGAGCACGTCGGGCACGGGGAGCGGCGCTGGTCGGCCGTGACGCGCGCCTGGACCGCCACCTGGAGAGGGCTCTCAGAAGGCAGCTGCCGGGCTGTCCTCTGTCACGCTGGGTGGCAGCCAGCTGCAGGATCACAGAACGCAGGCGAGTAGGCCTACAGCACGTGCCCCGTCCCCACGTGCTGTGGCCCGGTGGCCGCCGCTGGCCCTGACCTGGAGCCGTGGGGCGCCTGGGGAGGGCGGCAGAAGAGGACACACGGAGCCGGTCAGGACTCCGTTCTGTGATTACTGAATGACGAACCCAAATAAACAGGTCGTGTGTCTGGTCTCCTGCTGGTGAACGGGAGCCGTGGCGCACGGGTAGGGAGCTGCCCACAGAGGAGCCCAAGTGTGGCTCCCAGTGCGGTGGGACCAGGTGGGTGGACACCTGCTGAGGGCGGGCCTCCCAGGGACCTGGCATCAGGGGGCCAGGGGCTTTTGAAGGCCCCGTTTTACTGTGGTCCCACCGTGCCGGGCAGAACAAGGTCCCCACAGCCCGCCCTCGGCCCCAATCCCTGGTATTGTCACTTTATGTATCAACAAGAGTGGCCATGCATGTGACTGAGGGTCCCCGGGGGGGAGGGGGGGAGTCCTGGTTATCTGGGTGGGCCCAGCGTCCCCACAGGGGTCCTCACGAGGGAGGAAGTGAGAGATAGAAGATGCCAGGCTGCAGGTGGCAATGACAGAGGGGCCACAAGTCAACACGGGCACCTCTGGAAACCGGGGAGGCAGGGGGACGGTCCCCCCTCCAGGGGCCCAGGAGGCACTTGTCCCGGCCACACCTTGGTTTTGACCTGAGACCCGTGTCAGACTTCTCACTTCCCAGAACTGTAACAACAGGTTTGGCTTTAAGCCAAATCGGCGGTGACCTGCTTGGGCGGCCACGGGAAGTGAATAAATGGGGAGGCACTGCCCCTGGTTGCACCCCAAGGTGAGATGCCCACAGCTGCTCCCCTGCACTGAGCCCCTCCCCCCGGGCCAGTCCAGCCCCAGCCCCTGCAGGATCCTCCCCTCCCTGCACAGCCAGCTGGGGGGATGGACAGACTCCAAGCTTTGAAACCTCAGATGTAATTTCAAAACCAAAGGGCCCGCAGAGACCCCCCGGCCAGCAAACAGCCCCCCACCGTGCCTTTGCTTCCCACCTGGGCCACCAGCTGCTCTGTTCTCACACGGGGCAAGACCCAGGCTGTCCTCTTTGGCCCTCGGGTCTTAGAACACAACCTGCCCCTCCCGTCGCACGTCCCCTCCCTGCCCACAGCTACTTGGAGCGGACTGCAGGCTGTCAGGTGGCCACTTACAATCGGTTTCAGGGGACTAGAGTGGCTGAGGGAGTCCCACCAGACGTGGCGCACCCACCTGTATTCAGTCCTCCGGGGCTGGGCCCTCACCCTGAAAGCGGGGTGTTCATCGGCCGCACCCAAATGGGTGGGAGGAATGGAGCCCTTGCCTTTGAGTGCCCCTCGGGTGGGGTGGGGTCATCCTGTCTCAGCCGAACCCAGTCCATGCAGGAGGGGCAGAAACCGCGTGGCGGCCGGAGTCCAGGCTGAGTGCAGTCCGCCAGCTCTGCCGGCACCGCAGCTCCCCCGCGGCTCCGACGCGCTCAGATGCCTCTGCGGGGCCCACCACAGCCCCGACACGGAGCTGCTTCGGGGCCTTGGGGACAGGGCCCAGGGGCCCGCAGCCACCCGCGCGCTCTTCCCGAGGGGTGGCTCAACCCCGCTGCCGATCTGGGAGCAGCTGCAGTTCCAGAGGCTGGACCGGACTGCTCACCTGACGGATGGGCAGGGGGGACGGGCCGGCGTGTGCACTTTCGGAGAAACCTTCACCTTGAACTAGGTCAGCACAGGGGTGAGGACTTCACAGTTACACGAAGGACAGAGGCATGCGTGGGGCAGGGGAGCGGACACCCACCAGCTCGGCGCGGGCAGCGAGGCGGCTCAGGCCCCAGGGGACCGCACACACCCACTCACAAGAAACAAGGCGTTTGAGAAGACGAGACGCGCCAGGTCGGGGCTGGACAAGAAGTTTATACACACCCCCCTCAGGTCCGGGAGCCGCAGCGGCTCCAACGCATTTACAAGCATTTCATCACAGTGCCTGCTCCGGGGCCCGCGGGGTGCCACCGGGCTTCCCCTGGACGGGCCCTCACATCGCGATAATGCTTTATTAAAGGGCAGATTAATATGCAGCTTTTGGGGGGAACGTTTTTACAAATATCAAAAGGAACAAATCAAGCATCCTATATAAACCTTTCCAGACCTCGGGAGGTCTGCGAAGCAGGACAAAGTGCTCTTCACACAGACTCGCAGGGCTTTCAAGTATCCGAGAGGCGCTTGGGGACCCTATAACCACCCTCCACACCCGCACGGGGCCCACGGGGCCCTCAGCAGGGGCCGAGCGAGCTGGCGGGCAGGGGGCGCTCGCTGCTGTCCAGCCCCATGGACCCCCCAGCTCCGGAAGTGGTTCCACACGGGGCCTGGGCCTCTGCAAGGCAAGAGAGGGAGAGGGCTTTAGCGGGCTGCACCCCAAGACTGGGTGGAGGGTCTCTGCCCCCCACGGCCCCCACACCCTGTCCCCTCCTCAGCTCGCCCAGCAAGAGTCAAATTCAGCCTCCGTCACTGGCCACACCGGCCCTGTGGTGCGCCCTCACAACCGAGCCCTTGTGCTTCCGTTCCACCCACCCCCCCACCCAAATCTACTCGGCTCCCACCTCTCCTCGGGCCCCTCTGAGACCCATCTACCACCAAGACCACCCCAGGACTCCACCGCTCTGCCTCACGGCACTCAGCCCGTAGGGCAGCACCGCAGGGGCAGCACTGAGGATTCTCTCGGAAGCTTCTGGAACAGTGCCACGACATGGTCAGCACTCAACAGCCAGCCCACTACTACTGCACCTACTTCTGCTACGGCTACTGCAGTCCAGTCCGAATGTGCCCCCAGCAACGTTCACACAAGTCAGACCCTCCGGGGCCTGCACTGGAACCCACCGCCCGCACCCACCCCAATCCCCCAGGGCCTTTGGGGTCCCATCACTCAGCCTCAGTGTTCACAGACAAGAGGCGCGTGGGAGCGAGAGGGCACGTCCTTCCCTTCCTGCCGGGCTGATGAAAGACGAGGGCTGGGACCCTTCTCACCCCCAACATCCGAGATGTCCAGCATCACACAGTCGCCGTCCTCCTCTTCCTCCTCCTCGGTGTCCGCCTGGAAGCCATCCAGGTCCCCAGCTCCGACCTGGACAGACAAGGGCACACAGGCCATCAGCAGCAGCGGCAGGTGGGCTGCTGTGACCCCCCCCCCCACCATTCTGGCAACAAATCTGAGGAGTCCGCTTGAGAGCCTATCAGCAAAGGAGCCCTGGGGGGCGGGGGGCGGGGTGTCTCAAAGGACCGCACTCAAATCCCCGAAAACTACCACCGGCATTATTTGTGAACTGTTTCTGACTTAGAAATCTGGATTTCTGGCTCACTCATGCTTACACCACTCCCGCCAGGGACGATGCCACCCGAGCAACTGTGGGCGGGAGTCCGGCAGCGCCTCCACCAGGAGAATTCCTACCGACATCCCGGAGCCATGGTCACCGGCTTGCACCAGGGGGCAGAGAGCGTGGAAAGGACTGATTTTAAACACCGACCGTGCACATGGGCGCCTTTGTACATGAACAAAGAACCGGCAGAGGTGGGCTTATTTCAGCAGGAGGCCTACTCCGCAGAACACCTGGAATTCTGTGCCACGGAAGGCTGCCTTTGCCCGGAAGAGGGGTGAGAGCCGGCACAAGGCCACGCGGGGTGTGCAGACTGGGCCCGGGCCCGGCTGGACAGCCCCACGGACACAAGGGCCCCCAGAGAGAGCCGCGCTGCCGCTGGCAGAACACGGAGGGGGGCTTCCAACTACCCATTTAAAAGAATTCACTGGATAAGAGCAGAGCGCCGGCTCTCACTGCCCCGACTGGCAGTTGCTCGCCGGGCCCGCCGAGCAAAAGGAACCACCGACGGTCCTCGCTCACGGCCCTGCGGCCGGGACTCCCGAGTGCAGGCCCACAAGGCTTCCCACGCCTCCACCAGTTCCCAGACGAGTCACCAGGCGCAGCCCCGGGGACAGGCCAGGCTTCCACAGCGAGACTTCGGACGGCACCCGAGTCCCGCTGTGCGCTCGGCAGCCGGCAAGAACGAGCTCTGTAACCCATTCCGGGTCATTTTGAGCACAGATTTCTGACCAGGAAGGGAACGCAGAGCCTCTCCCCGTTTTAAAGGTCGAGTCACCCTAGGACCGCACAGCACCGACGCAGAACTGGCGCCTCCCCTCAGCCTGTTCAGCTCTGTGACCAGGACACCTGGTGAACACGTGTTAGAACTACTTTGATGCAAACAGATTTTTAAATTCCCACAGGTTTGAAAGAGCCCACCCGGCAGACCTAACAGCTCCACCTGCGCACGCCTGTGGTCTGCAGCCACTACCCCCGAGATTACAGAAGCACCAGCGGCTTCACCGTGCCTCTATCCCCCTTCTAGAAGTTTACTTGTGTCTCTCACTTTATGTGGGTGTCGTGCGGTAGGGGGCCTGCTCAGCGCAAGCCCCAGAGCCATCCGCCCTCCCCTCCTAAAACAGAATCAGAATTTTGTTGAGGGAGCCGGCCAGTCCCCTCACCCAGCCTCTCCTGCAGCCGGTGGGCTGAGCCAACGATTCTGGCCCGACGGACTCAGGTGGAAGTCTGCGGGGGGCATCCCTTTCCAGCTAAACGGAGTCTCTGCCACTCGGCCCTGCTGGCTGGAGGGGAGACAGCCGTGTGTGACCACGAAGACAAGGGCCACGCGCAACGGAAGGAGGGAGCGGGACACGGGGAGCCTGTCAGCACAGGAGCTCAGGGCCTCTTGCTGCCGAGACAAACACTTCTGTATTGATGCTGTAATGCTGGGGCCGCATTATTGGTGGCCTGACAAGAGGGCCATGGAGCAGGGTGTCCCACTCGGAAGAGCAGAGGTGCGGCTCGCTGCCCACAGAACCACTCCCAGATCACGCCCAGAGCCGGGCACTCTGGCATCTCACTCCCCGATGCACACCCCGTGCTGCCCACACGGCGCGCTGGGGCTGTCACGTGGCATTTCCTGAGGGGCTTTTAAAATGCAGACTTTAGGGGCGTCTAGGGGGCTCAGTCAGTTGAGCATCCAACTTCGGCTCAGGTCATGATCTCACAGTTAGTGGATTCGAGCCCCACGTCGGGCTCTGTGCCGACAGCTCAGAGCCTGGAGCTGCTTCAGATTCTGTGTCTCCCTCTCTCTCTGCCTCTCCCCAGCTCGTGCTTACTCTCTGCCTCAAAAACAAACGTTAAAAAAATTAACAAAACCAGACTTTAGATTCCTCTCTCAGACCTACTGAGTCAGAATCACTGGGTCCAGCGAGCCCAGAACTCCAAAGATGGTAGTCTGCTCTGCGTGTGCTTCAGCCCGAACAGTTTTAGACCCCCAGGCACAGCAGGTGAGCCCCGCGCAGGGCCTGGAGCGTGGCTCGCGCGCCGTGTGGCCTTCAGTTGAGGCCCCCACACTGCTGAGCCTCTACGAAGCTCACGTGTGAACGGGGAACAGAAGCACAGGGCTGCTGCTCCCGTGTGTATCATCAGATGGAAGTCCCCACACACACTTCCTCAGACATCCACGGGTCACCTGCGGTGTCACCCTGCTTTAACTGGGAGCACTTCTTTCCTGGTGCCTCCATAAAATGACAAAGCATCTTACCCATGAAATACAGGGTTTGTATAAAATGCCTAGTACAGTACCAGGCATGTAAGGCAACACGTAACAGGGGCTAAAATCATGGTTTTGCACGCAAGCATGGGTTAGGAACCCAAATGAGGACAACCACAGGTGGAAGAGCACGGCGGGGCTCAGGATGCAGCTGTGACCATCACGTGACAACGTGTGACTCTACATCCACCCCGGTGAAACAGACAGACACAGCGGGGCCCTGTGGGCGGGGAGAGAGCAGAGGCCTGCAGACACAGATAAGGGGACAACGCAGGCAGAGCCAGTCCCACTCCGGTTCCTCCTAAGACTGTTCGGTGACGACAGTGCCGACACGAAAAGGTTCTGTTGCTCAGCAGCCTGAACCCGTCACAGGCCTGACGAAGGCCCTCATTCGGCTGCAGCGCAGGGAAGGGAGCAACCTGTGGGCCTGAGGCTCCCCCAGGACAGCCCTGCGCCAGCCTTGCCCTGAGGTCAGCTAACAGTGGGTAGCTTAAAAGGAAGGCTTACGACGGGGCACCTGGGTGGCTTAGTCGGTTGAGTGTCCGACTTTCGCTTGGGTCATGATCTCGCGGTTCGTGGGTTCGAGCCCCGCATCGGGCTCTGTGCTGACTGCCGGCTCAGAGGCTGGAGCCTGTTTCGGTCTGTGACTCCCTCTCTCTCTGACCCTCCCCTGCTCACGCTGTCTCTCTCTCTCTCCTAGAAATAAATAGAAATATTAAAAAAAAAAAAAAAAAAAAAAAAGGAAGGCTTACGAGGCAGCAAAGTCCAGGGGCGCCCGGGTGGCTCAGTCCGTTAAGCGTCCGGCTTCGGCTCAGGTCATGATGGCACAGTTCATGACACTGAGCCCCGCGTCAGGATCTGTGTGGACACTGCAGAACCTACTTGGGATTCTCTCTCTGCCCTTCCCCCATTCGTGCTCTCTCTCTCTCTCTCTCTCTCAAAATAAACAAACTTGAAAATAAACAAACAAACCCCAATTGTGTCGAAGGCCTCAGGCGGGCTGACAGCACCCCAGGAGTAATCCCTCCTGCCTCTGTGCTCTGAGGCCACTTTAGTTTTTTGTTTTTTTTTTTTAAATGTTTTATCTATTTCTAGGAGAGAGGGAGAGACAGCGTGAGCAGGGGAGGGTCAGAGAGAGAGGGAGTCACAGACTCTGAAACAGGCTCCAGGCTCTGAGCTGGCAGCCAGCACAGAGCCCGACGCGGGGCTCGAACCCACGAACCGCGAGATCACGACCTAAGCGAAAGTCGGACGTTTAACCGACTAAGCCACCCAGGCGCCCCACCACTTTAGTTTTTAAGCCGAAAGGTGACTAACGTCAGAGAAGCAGCGCAGGAGTGGGGCGTGAGGGGGCATCACCATCTAGCCTTTGGCACCCAGCCCCCAACCCACACCTCCCCTGCAGAGGCCACTGGATGTGAGGGGGAGACACGCCTTTTTAGATCTCTCGATCTCATTCTCCTCATAAAGTCTAGTCTCAAAACCTGTACTTCCGGGAATCGCATGCCTGAAACGAGGATCCGATGCTACAAGATCCATCTCTGGTGAGACTTAGACGCGTGAAAGAAAAGGAACTCATTCCACTCGTGTTCCAGGAAGGAGAAAATCAGACACACGCAACACCAGCGAAGGCTGCCGCTGGGGCACCCGTCCCTCGGGCAAGCGGAGGGCCCTGGAGGCCGCCCCCCACGCGTGTCCCTGAGGCCACCCGGCGCCCCAGGACCCCCAGGCTGCTCTGGGAACTTGCTCCCGCACTGCCTGTGATCAGTGACAGACTCCCATCGGTGCCTCCCATCTGGTGGGCTCTGCTCATCACCGCACACAAGGTCCAGCAAGGTACCTGATGCACAGGAAGTGCTCAGTAACCACATTAAGTGAACGTAAAAGCAGAAAGAAATTTAGAACACTAAGAAGTGGGGGCGCCTAGGCGGCTCAGCTGGTTGAGGGTCCAACCCTTGATTCCAGCTCAGATCACAGTCACGGTTCGTGGGTGGGATCCAGCCCGAAGCGCATGCTGATAGGGGGGAGCCTGCTTGGGATTGCCTCTCTCTCCCTCTCCCGGTGCCCATCCCCACTCTCACTCACTCTTTCTCAGAATAAACTGTTAAAAAATTAAGAACAAAACAAAACACTAAACTAAAAAGCCACTGCATGGAATGCTGTTGGGTGCGAAAAGGAAATGAGCTACGCAGCCATGAAAAGTCAAGAAGAACCGGAGATACACAGAGCTACGCGAGAGAAGCCAATCTAAAAAGGCTACATGCTGTGTGCACCCAAGCCTGTGATTCTGGAAAAGACAAAACAACGGGGACAATACAGAGATGTGTGGTCACTAGGAGTGTGGGGGGAGGAACGGATGAGCAGATGGAGCACAGGGCACGTTTGGGTCTGTGACTCTGCTCTGGACAAGATCACAGTGGCGGATACACATCGTTGCACGTCTGTCCAAACCTGCAGACCACACAGCACCAAGAAGGACCCCTGATGCCAACTGGGGACTCGGGGGACAAGGACACGTGGATGTAGGCTGTCGACTGCGACAAATGCACAGCTCTGGTGCCGGGTCGACGGTGGGGAAACTGCGGCGGGGGAGGGGGGTCGTGTGGGAAATCACTATGCTTTCTGATCACCTTTGCCGTGAATCTAAAACTGCTCTAAAAACACACTTTATTGAAAACGAGAAAGCGCCCCCGCCCCACCCCTCACCTGCCCGTCGTGCCTGCGCTTCTTCATGAACTGGGTGATGCACATGCTGCCCGCTGACTTCCTCTTCAGCGATACCGGTGTGCCCTGGCCGGGCCCCGCGGCCGGGGAGCTGCCACTGTCCTCCCTGGTGGCCGAGGGCACCGTGGTGACGTAACTCCACTGGCACGGCACGGGCAGGTGCTCCTGATCGAAGCTCTTCAGCACCTGCGGGTGGACGTACCAGCACATCCTGAAGTCAGGCCTCTTCTCGTACACTGAGTTCTCAGAAATGATCCGTTTGAGCCTCGCCTTGGAGGGCACGGCGGCGTCCTCACTGCCAGTGGGGGTCTGTGGGCGGGAAGAGCCGGGGCTCGGCGGGCTGGCGGAGCTGCTGTCGGGACTGCCCGCGTCCTTGCCGAGCAGCCCGCGGCGGCAGCACTCCTGGAACTCCCGGATGATCACCTTGCTTCCGTTCACGTTCCCGTGCAGCAGCGGGAGCAGCTGGGCCAAGACTGGCAGAGGGGAGGGAACACGGGGGAGAGAGAACAAACATCGCATGCTGCTCCCCGATCTGTCACCAAGTCAAGACACATAGTTTCCAGATGGCCTTTTTAATTAAAAAACAAACAAACAAACAAAAAAACACAACCACCCCACAACTTTTTTTTTTTTAAGCAGGCCCCACACCCAGTGTGGACCCCAATGCAGGGCTTGAACTCACAACCCTGAGATCAAGAACTGAGCAGAGACCGAATCGGATGCTTAATGACTGAGGCCCAGTTGCCCTGAAGGTGGCCTTCTAAGGGCAGGTTTAAGACAAGCGCAGTAGCCGCAGAGAAGTCTGTGAAGGCCTGCCTCTCTCTTGCAGCGGGTTTCTCTGGCTGAACTATCAGGCCTCACGCTAGGCCCCTGTCCCTCCTCCATGCTCCCCTGCCGAGCCGCGGGGCCTCCCCTGGCTGTGAAGGGGAGGCACAGCTGACGGGGCGCGCGGCCTTGGCCGGGTGCTCTGGGGAAGTGCACTACCTGAACGGCTGCCCTGCGTGGCTGTGCGCGGTCTTCTGTTTTCTGTTCAAAGACCTTCTACATTTACGGTTTTTTAAAAAATGTTATTTCTTTTTTTTTAATTTTTAAAAAGCTTTATTTATTTCTGAGAGAGAGAGAGAGACAGCGTGAGCAGGGGAGGGTCAGAGAGAGAGGGAGACACAGAATCTGAAGCAGCTCCAGGCCCTGAGCTGTCAGCACAGAGCCCGACGTGGGGCTCGAACCCACGAACCCCGAGATCGTGACCTGAGCTGAAGTTGGACGCTCAACTGACTGAGCCCCCCAGGCGCCCCAAAGACCTTCTACGTTTTAATCCAAACACCTAATAAAGTCTCCTGGGCCCGGGACAGCAGGGAGCCCGATCCCCTCCCCTTCCGCCAGACGCTGGCACTCACTCTGCTGGTCTCTCTTCTCTCGTTTGGAGGCCTTGGGCGTCTGCTCCTCCTCGGACGGCACCGTTTCCAGGAGGCAGGCCGTGAACTGCTGCAGCACCTTCAGGTCGGCACCACCATCCTTGTCGGCCGCCCAGATGCAGCCGATCTTCACGGGCTGCAGCACGCGGAACCTCTTCCCCTTGGCCAAAAACTCGTCCCACTCTTTGGCCTTCAGTTTTTGGCGAACCTTGTGGTTCTCTGGGTCGGCACACTCCTTGCAGGTTGGAGAACAGTGCTTACTCGGGGTCCCCGGGGGCCCGTGCCCTCTCATGCCGCCTCCGGAATGGTGAGAGGGAAGAGCATGCTGGGGCAGGGCACCCTGGGGCCCCACCGCGTCCCGCAGGCCTCTTCTAATGCTATAGTGACCGACACGCATGCCATTTGCCATGTGGAAGCATCCTCTCTGGTCATGACTGGCAAGTCTCAGCTATTATCCTAATGTCACCAGTAAGCCTCTCAAGGCCAGTCTGGATTTCCTGGTGAGCGTGGCATGCCAGGGCCATCAAATCACCACCCCCAAATCCCATGCCCAGATCAACCGATGGGCCCAGGCCCTTCCACGCCAGGTGCAGCTCCATTGTCTAACCCCAGGGAGCCCGTGGTCACCTCAGACACGCCTATCCCTCCAGTCCGACTTGGACACACAAAAGCACCCCAGGCATGGCCACACTTGTCTGTTCCTCCACAGCCCAGAGACTGGTCTGGAAAGTTGGTGGTGGGGGTTCAGGGCTAACTCCCAGGGCCACGGGGGCCCCTTCGGGAGAGATGGAAAAGTCCTAGATTTCATTTTGGGCGATGGATTTATAAATGCCAATTGTTAAAGTTCACTGCACTCAATGATTCAAACCTGTATGGTTTTTGGTAAGTTCATACCTCAGCTAAGAAAATTTAAAAAGAACCAAAGTGGTTTAGTGCTCTGACCCGCAAACCTCAGGGCACCAGTGTCACAGCCCCCAGGCTGGCAGCCACCAAGCTGGTGCCCAGCCCAGCCTTCTCAGGGACGATCACCTCCCTGCTCACTCCCTTACCTCAGTGACTCCCTCATCCTCAGATAGGTACCCATGGGGTACGAAAAAACCATCATCCTCATCTTCATCCTCTCCCACTTCATCATCATCATCCTCAAAAAGAAAAAAAAAAGACGTTCATAACACGTAGCAACAGAACATCTACTTTGTTCAGAACGTGAGCCTGCGAACACCTAACAGACACTCTTCTGGACAGTGCAAGGACCGGGAGAAACTTGGTGGCCCAACCCCAGTAGCTGACAGCGGGCCGGGCTCAGCTACCACACGGCGAGCGAAGCCACCCAGATGTGAGACGGGAGGGGCAGGTGTCATCAGGTGAGGGTTCCTAAGACAAGGTAGAAACCTGGACGTTACACACGCCTGAAACTTTCAGACGACACCATGGGTCGAACAGAGCCTATACGTGAGTGGACTCAGCCCGGGGCCTGCCTTCTGGGTGAAGCCTGAACCGGTGCGGGCTGGCGCTCACCCCCTCACTGTGGGACAGGGACTCTCCCGGCTCCTCCTCTTCCCACTCCTCGTCACTGTCCACCTCGTAGTCCAGGAGCTTCTGAGAAAACAAAGACACGGAACGTCAGGCACGGCTGTCTTTCAGGGCTGGCAGAGCAGAAAAGCTACAATATGCATGGAATCCAGGAGACCAGTGTGAAAAAGGCAAAACGAGAAGGAACACGGGCCGGTGTGCCGGGACCATCCGCCCGTCTGCCACGTGCTCACCTTGTCTTGCGCCCAGGGGTCCCTCGGGTGGATGACAGTCGTCTTCTTATTCCACGTCCCCCAGTACGCCGGGCGGTGATTCTCGGAAAACTGCAGGAGCTTCATCCTGCCAAACTTCTTCCTGTCAGGAACGCCGTCCACCTTGCCGCTCTCCACGATCACCACATCGCTGGGGGAGCCACCAAACTCAGTAACGTGCCTCCCCCATGACGCGCCCGTTTGCCACCCGGGCTTCTCGAGGAAGCAGGCCGTAAACATCACAAAGATGGGTAACCACCTGCTCCCAAGAAAGCTAAGGAACATTTATTCCAGGGACATGAAGCCAAGACGGAGGGAGGAACAAGACTGCTAAGTGCTGGCCCAGCAGTTACAGAAGCAGGGCTGTGGAGGGGACGCAGAGCGACCAGAACAGGGAAACGCCCATGCGGGGAGGCCGGTGCGGAGACACGACCCCCGCCCGGGGATCGCGGGAACAGGACACGGGACCCCCGCCCGGAGGGCCCGGGAACAGTACGGGACCCCCGCCCGGAGAGCCCGGGAACGGGACACGGGACTCCCGCCCAGAGGGCCCGGGAACAGGACAGGACCCCCGCCCGGAGGGCCCGGGAACGGGACATGGGACTCCCGCCCGGGGAGCCCGGGAACAGGACAGGGATGCGCATTCCACAGCAGCAGCTGCCTGCAAGTCCACTGCACACGGGACGCCAGAAGAGAGACAAGTGGCCCAAAGCCAAGCCAGCAGCAGCCCAGAAGCCAGGGCTGTCCCGGGCCGCTTCCCAGACTCTCCACCTGCGCTCTGACTTCACCAACAGGCAGAGGACTGTCTCCCTGGCCACGAACCTGTTATAGATGTCCGTGCTTCGGTTTGAAGCCACGGTGGGTCCAGAGCTGAGGGGCTGCCGGCCTTTCAGATCTTTCAGGAAGGAGAATTCACCATTCTGCTGCTGAAGGAGCTGGTCCAGCTGATCGCAGAGGTCCTGGTCGAAGGCAGTCCGAAACCGAGGGGCAAGAACCATGTGCTCTTTAATTTCAAAAGGGGCAAACTTCCCACAAGAGCCAGCCAGGGTCTGAAACGGAGAAGAGGGCATGACGGCGCCGTCGTGCGCTGGGACGGCCCCTCGGCAGCGGCGGGGAAGAGCCGGACACACAGCACAAGGCTCCCCAGATCCCTCCAGCTTGGTAGGCCCCAGGGCACACACCAAAGGCTACACGCCACATGACGTCACCAATACAGATTTCTAGAAAAGGCAAAACTACAAGGTCAGAGGTCACATGAGTAGTTGCCAGGGGCTGGGAAGTGGGGAGGAGGCTGTGGACTCTAAGGGAGCCGTACGGGGTAAGAGAAATACTCTAGATCTGGATTAAGGTGCTGTGGAATCCCACACATTGTCACACTCACTGAATGGGAGTTTTCACTATAAACACCTCAATATACATGGCTCTTTAAAAAACAGTGGTCGGGGCACCTGGGGGGCTCAATTGGTTAAGCGTCCAACTTCAGCTCAGGTCATGATCTCACCATTCCAGATTTCAAGCTCTGTGTCGGGCTCTGTGCTGACAGCTCAGAGCCTGGAGCCTGTTTCAGATTCTGTGTCTCCCTCTCTCTCTGCCCCTCCCACACTCACACTGTTTCTCTCTCAAAAATAAACAAACATTAAAAAAAAATTTTTTTTTAAGTAGCGGTGGGGGGGGCGCGCCTCTGGGTGGCTCAGTCGGTTGGGTGTCCAATTCTTGGTATCAGTTCGGGTCAGGATCTCATGGCTCATGGGATAGAGTCCTGTGATGGGTTCTGCACTGAAAGCTACAGAGCCTGCTTGGGATTCTCTCTTCCTCTCTTTCTGCACCTCCCCTGCTCATGCATGCACACTCTCTCTCTCAAGATAAAAAATAAGTAAAAGTAATAAACTTTTAAAAAAATTAAAATAATAAAAAGTAAGAAGAAGGTGGGGGCGAGAAATGAGAGCAAAAATCCCAGCTGAGGAAACTGAGGTCCAGGAGAGGGACTGTGCCCAGAGTCGCACCATAACCTGCCTTACTGCCTGGAGCCCATCCCCACACTGAAGGCTGCTGTGGACCTGACACGTCAGTGTCTGTGTCCAAAGAATCATCCACTGTAAATTCTGGTGGCCTTGCTGTCCCTTCTCAGAGCCCCTTCAGCAGCAGCAATGTGTGTGCCAGTGGGGCCCAGAGCCGGCGGCACTCGAGGACATGGGCGGTGGGGAGGAGAGTCCACGTCTAGGGCTTTTGTGGAAGAAAGCCAGCCTTCAGCCTCACTGAAGAAAGGGCACTGTGGCCGGAGGCTTCATCACGGCCGCATAGCAGGCTGTCCAGGGGCTGCCCACGCCGGGCTGAGGGGTGCTCTGGGGTGGGACCCAGGCTCCATGATTCTGTAAAGCTCTCTCGTGATTCCGACTCGAAGCCCAAGGTAAGAAGCGGCAGACTGCCCACCTCATTAATGAACACGTGCTGGGACGCCGGGTACCACAGGCCAGAGTTAGGGCCGTGCCCCACATGACAGCCACAGAGAGCAGCCACGCTAAGGGACCACGCATTGAAAAAACAAGAGGTAAAAAGAAAAACAAAAAAACCATAAATAAGCAAAAAGCAAAATGAAAACAAACTGGGAAAGAAAATGTTTGTCTCCGGCCACAGGACACACAAGGCTTTGAAACCACACGCAAACTGCCATGAAAAATTTAAAATGTTGACACTGAAGAGAAAGACTTCTGTACAACAGAAGACGCCGTGAACAGGCTAGACGGCAGGTAACAGACTGAGAGGCAGTATCTGTCATGTGTGTCACCAAGAATGAGAATCCTGGCTGTGTAAGCAGCTCTTAGAGGTCAGAGGAAAAGCCAACCATGCAGAAAAATGGGTAAAAAATAGGAATATTTCACAGAAGAAATAAAATGGTAAACAAAAAACGATGTCTAAGTAGAATAAAAGAAAAACGTAAAGTAAAAAAGGGTATCAATTTCTTTTTACCCATTGGGTTAGTGAAGTTAAAAAAAAAAAACACATCACATTTTGTGCTAGTGGAAGGTAGGGACCAGCATGTGTCCCCACACCGCTAAGCACGGACATCGGCGCTTTGTGCTGGGAGGGCACCTGGACAGGAAGTAATAGGATTCCGCCCAAGGGCTTATCTGTGGATGGAGCATCTGGCCCGTGTCCAGGTGGCTGTCGGCACATGTGCAGAGAGGAGTATTAGTGACACTCCGTGTGCCCCTAATGGGGCATCGACAGGGCAACGGACATATAAACCATGACGCCATCCATACTATGAAAGGGTTGCAGCAACAGAAAGCACACAGCTGACCCAAGTGTACCTGCACGGCAACAATTCGAGATGCGGCTACGAAATCAAAGTAGGGACATGACAGACTCATGGCTTATTACATGTATAAACAGACAAACATATGAAGGGATGTAAATGCAGAGAAAGCTTTAGATGGACACCCTTGCACTGGGGGGGATGGGTTCCCCCGGAGCATGGAGGGAGGGGGACGGGAGGAAGTCTGCGGTCTCTGAAAGCAGACACTGGTAGACGTGACAGATGCCAGGCTGAGGGAGCAGAATTCTAAACTGTTGTTTCATGCTTAACGTTGCCTCCCATCTGGAGCATCAAGCCCATGGGGGTGAGGACTGGGTCTTCTCGGACACCCTCCCCCACAGCTGCTGCGGCAAAACCGTTTAGGAAGCAACCTCCCAACACCTGGCAGTATTTTAGCCAACCTGCCACTCTTCACCTTTTCAAGGACATGGTGAGTGACAAAATAGTGAGCCTCCAGATTCTACCACAAATAAACGCTCCCTCCAGTAGGCAAGCAGGGACTTCCTCTCAATGAAAGGGAAGCTAGCTGATCAGAAGATACCCTTTTATTTTTCAAAGAGGGGGAGCATGACAAAGACAAAAAGCCAAGCCAGAGGAGGCCGGCTGCTCACCTTGGGGGCCTGCGGGGTCTTTGGTTTCTGAAAGAACCTGGTGATCTCAGCCTTCTCCGCTTTAATGCGCTGCAACGGAAGAGAAGGTGAGCACGAAGGAACGGAGAGAAGCAGTGTGTCTGAAAATGTGCCGAAGGCCCCCGGAACGGGAGTCCCGGCACTCTGAACTTGAAAGCATTACTTTGAAGCCGGCTCTCGAAACCCACCGACCCCACCCCCAGCCAGGCATCGGCCCATCTCCACGTGAGGCGTGCGGTACGGGGAACCTGCCGCCACCGGAGGGCATGTGCACACGCGGCACTCCCCACGAGGGCCACCTGGCTGCCCGAGACCAAGGGACAGCGGGCTGAACGAGCCCAGCATTCCCGGCAGAGCGGCCCACCTTCTCCTCTTCCCGCAACCGTTTTTCCTCTTCCTTTTTCCTCTTCTCCTCCAGCTTCGCCCTGGGAGACAGGAACCACAGCTCCAGCCCGAGGCAGGGGCGCGGGCGCACCCCGAGCCAGCCTGGGCTGCCAGCAGCAGCGGGAGTGCCCCCCCCCCCCAGGCACACGCACTCCAGCGCCTCCTGCCGCTCCTTGCGCCGCTCCTCCTTGCGCCGCTGCTTCTCCGCCTTCTCCTTCTCGTCCTTCTCCCTCTTCTCGCGCCTCTCCTTCTCCTTCAGCTCCTTCTCCTCCTCCTTCTTCTTCTTGGCTTCTTCCTTGGCCCGCTTGGCCTCCTCCTTCAGCTTCTCCTTTTCTTCTTTCTCCGCCCTCAGCTTGAGCTGCTTGCCCAGGCGCTCCTTGTCCTGCGACCGAGAGACGAGGCTTGGCTGAGCCCCCGCACCAGCCGCCCCCCCCTGCTGCCTGCGCGGGGACACCGGTGAGGCCCCCGGCTAGCTGCCAGCGGTCTTGCTGGCAATTTGAAGTAAGAGCCTTTCTGTGCCCAGGGGAGGGGGAGTCGCTCAACAGGTGGAGCGTCGGACCTCAGCTTAAGGCATGATCTCACGGTTTGTGGGTTCGAGCCTCGTGTTAGGATCTGTGCTACAGCTCAGAGCCTAGAGCTGCTTCGGATTCTGTGTCTCCCTCGCTCTCTGCCCCTCCCCCACTCACACTGCTTCTTTCTCTCAAAAATAACATTTAAAAATTAAAATAAAAAATAAAAAAGAACTACCTCCAGGCTACCCACTGTTAGGCCTGAACTGCATTTATTTAATCAGAAAAGAGAAACACCTATAGGTTCTGCTTCTCTATCTTTATTTATTTATTTTTTAAATGTTTTATTTATTTCTAGGAGAGAGAGAGAGAGAGAGAGAGAGAGAGAGAGAGACAGTGTGAGCAGGGGAGGGTCAGAGAGAGAGGGAGTCACAGACCGAAACAGGCTCCAGGCTCTGAGCTGGCAGTCAGCACAGGGCCCGACGCGGGGCTCGAACCCACGAACCGCGAGATCATGACCCAAGCGAAAGTCGGACGCTTAACCTACTAAGCCACCTGGGCGCCCCTGCTTCTCTATCTTTAAAACAAAAGCATTTTTCTTCTCATCCCCCCAAAATCATATACGATTATAGGGTTTATTTTTTTTTCCTCTGAAATGAAAAATCGGGATGGGGCACCAGGAATGTGCTAAATGAGGGGGAAATAAATGAAAACAAACAGTAAAAGCAAAAACTGACTTTGTTTTATCTCTACATCAGTTCCTCATTCCAAACAGCTGGTACGTGGCCTGATGTCTGTGCTATTATACAACCTTGGATTTCCCCCAGAGAGGCTGCCCGGCCAGACACACAGGTGCTCCCTTCTGCCACAGCACCGGGTCACTTTCAAGGCCCACGTTCATCAGAAATGGGTGTCCCGGGGGCGCCTAGGTGGCTCAGTCGGTTAAGCGTCTGACTTCGGCTCAGGTCATGATCTTGCGGTTCATGGGTTCGAGCCCCACGTCGGGCTCTGTGCTGACAGCCAGCTCAAAGCCTGGAGCCTGTTTTGTATTCTGTGTCTCCCTCTCTCTCTGACCCTCCCCTGCTCACGCTGTCTCTCTCTCTCTCCTAGAAATAAATAAAACATTTAAAAAAAAAAGAAAAGAAAAGAAAAGAAATGGGCATCCCGGCATTAGGAGCCCGGCAGCTCAGCTTTTGTCGGGCCCTATGACTACACCCTTATCTCTAGACAGTACCCTACCCTCTGCCCTGAGGAATGTCTGGACTGTTCCAGTCCCCACAGGGTATCCTCTGCAGTTTCCTGTGACCCACAGGACACTTGAGGAAGGAGCGTCTGCAAGGTGGTGCACTGCTTCTCATCACTAAGGAAGGCAGATGGCTTCTGGAAACCAGTCATACCGGAGCCCCGCCTCCATTCCCACCCCATGCGAGCCCGTCGCGGAGATTCCAACAAAGAATGAGATTAACACTAAAAACATCATCAAAATCTGACCTACAAAAATTGAGTGCCGCCCATGAGGCGGACGGCACAGAAGCAGCCAGTGAGCACACGGCCCAGTGTATCATCGCCCCTTCTGTGAGCTGGCATCAGGGCAGAGGCCTGCTGGCCCTCTCTGCTCTTCATAGCAATGAGAAAAAAGTGCTCTGCTTTGCAGTGTGTGACATGAGGTGACCTCCTGACAACAAAAAGGAATGCTGTACAATAGTCACCCATCTAGTGTCACGGCCACCAAACCGGCACAGCACGCGGGAAGGGGCCTGGGATGCAGGGAAAGGGACTGGGTCCTTTGGAAGGCAACTCTCCAGACGGTGGAAATAATGATAATAATAAGAGCAAAGCTTGGAAAAGTCTACGAGCAAAAGCCACACGTCTCAGGGCCCGGTCGTGCGAAACGAAGCCAGCATCAGTGCTGGTCTGGACAAGCAGGGAGGGCGGCAGGACCTTGCTTACTGTTTAACGCAGGAAGCACAGGCTAACATTCTACTTCGGGGAAAAGGTCTTACTCTTTGCAGTCTGAGCTTGTCCTTCTCTGCAGACGCTTTGACCAGTTTCTTAGTTATCTGAAACGAGAGACATCTCTGTCAACATGGGCTGTTCCAGCCCTACATCATATAGAATATATCACACACTTCTTTGGGCAAAAAAGAGAAGGGGGGATGCGGATAAGGGACTCACACGATTAAGAACTTCTTTATGAAAAAACTACACTTTATGAAAAAACTGTGACCAGTTTCCACTAAATAGAACCAAAACACTGAAATGTCCCTGTGAGGTCGTGACCTCCACTGAACACGCACATGCATGCATCTGGGGGGGAAGACTGAGGAGACAGATGAGAAAAACGAAGGGGCTCAAGCATAAGAAAAACAGGCAGGCACAAAAGTAAACGCAGTGGACAGCCAGCAGGTGACACGGAGTACAAGGTTTGTGACAGAGGATGTACCCCGTCCAAAAGGGATGGAGCTCTTACTGGACTGTAGCCCCGCAGCTTTCCAAGAGCAGCCAAAATTGGGAATTTTATTTAAATTTCAGAGGTAGTGTCTAAGAATTAACACTGTGTGAATTAAATCAAACACATCTATGGGCTGGATTCCCACAATTTGTACTCTCTGCCTAGTGCAGCTTCTAGAATATGGAGTGAATGTTCAGGAGAAAGCTCGGCTTCAAAGGCAGGGGCCCGGTCCAGGCCTCCTGTGCCCCAGGACACGACATTCCCTATGGCTCTGCTGCAAAGGGAGCCTGGGCTGGAAGGACCCATGCAGGCGCCTGCTGGGTTCAGTCACCACGCTGGTGGCGCGGCCTCAGGAAGGGGTGGGTATGAGCAAGTTCAGACTACTGGCCTTCAGACTACTATGCCATCTCCAGAGCAGGGAATCCTGAAAACCAGACCGCCAGCTGGGAGAGCAGGGGAGGGAAAGCTCGGGCCGAAAAGGCAGTAACTCCCCAGGCTCCTTTGAGACTCAGAGAGGCAGCCAAGAAATGGGACCGGATGACATGGGGTTGAAAACCCAAAGGCCCCTTTCTCTTGAAAGGCTCTGACACACTGACCAAACTGTGGAGCGATGATTTCATTTGGGAAAGTCCAACCCTCTTCCAGAATAAGGCTTACAGACTAACACATTCAAGAAGACATCCTTCTCTTTTAGATTACATCATCCCTTAGGAGATGTCCGAGCAGAGTCATGAAAGCCATGTGCCGGCAGGACCTCGCCCAGCACCGACACTGTGCTCGAGCCCATCTGCACTACGCATGTACCAGCACAAATGCCAAGTTACCAAAGCGTTTTTACCAAGGGCTTAAGAAAAAGCATCTGCCTTCTCCAGAGTCCACTTTGCCTGCCAGGCCTGTGGTCTCACCCCCACCGTAAAGGGCTGAGCAGCAGAATCTACAAGTTGCTCCATGTGTTGTCCTACGCGCTCACATCTGCAGTACCGAACGTGACCTACAGACCCGTGCGAGGGCGCCTGGGGAAGCACATATGATCAGTCTTGCCCACACTTGGTGAGCTTTCGCAGGACCCCCAGAGGCCGCCCAACGACGTCCAGCAGTCAGAGCAATTATGACTTCATGCATGACCCGGGTGCATTGCTTCCCTGGACACTCGGGGACCTTACTGGTCTGATATAATGTTATCTGCTTGATAACTGGCCCAAGTGCTCACGGAACTCTCTCCAAGTCTAGGCCGTACGTGTTACCTGACTGGAACTCAGCTGCCAAAAACAAGATCCAAGATCCCAGAAGGAAGCTGAAATACACACACCAATGATCCCACGCCGTCAAGACTAATTTCACTAGTGCATGAACATTTGTGTACTTGACTCGCAGGATCCTCTCCGAGACACCGGCTCTGATTTTACATACAGGGACAACTTATTTCTTAGCTCCAAAGCAGCAGTGAATGAGGTGTGCAGTAGTGGGGATGCAGCGGGAGCAGCTAGAACCCTGGCCACAGGGAACCAGGGGGCACAGCAGTGAGGAAGCGATACAACCCAGCCCGGTCCGGCCACAGCAGAGGGCAAGCAGGCAAAAATTCCCTCAGTGCGTTCCTGGGAGCTCACAATTCTACTCAACGGCAGCCCAAGGAAACACGTAGAAGGAAGCACATTACAATCATCCTGTCAAGGCTGCGAATGAGAAAAACAGAAACACCCACCACCGAGAAGGAGTCTGTGGACTGCATCTTGTCCCCATGAGAGGCAGAGGATTTGGCAGCTAACAAGAGACCCATCTTCCCAGCCAGGTATTTCAGGCCCCAGAATGAGAAAGAAACATACTTGCAGCACAACAGCTCAGGTAAGGAAACAAAAATGTTACGGTGTATTCCCAGGGGAGGCCTCAGTACACCACACAGACAATATAAAATGACAGCCTCCTGCAGATGATTGTCATGCTTCTGTTATGTTTTTAAAAAAAATTTTTAATGTTTTATTTATTTCTGAGAGAGAGAGAGAGAGACAGCGTGAGCAGGGGCGGCGCAGAGAGAGAGGGAGACACAGGATGTGAAACAGGCTCCAGGCTCTGAGCCGTCAGCACAGAGCCTGACATGGGACTCGAACCCAAAAACCATGAGATCATGACCTGAGCTTAAGTCAGACCTTCAACTGACTGAGCCACCCAGGCGGCCCCCCCCCCCCCGTTACGTTTTTTAAACATGGAGAACTTAATATGCGTATACCTTAAATTCTGCAGGGGAAAGTCCCAGTGATCTGGGTTTGTTTGTATAGACACAAAGATTCCAGTAATACAGCTGTGTCAGCACCATCGATTACAGACACGTGATCTCGACTCTCCAGTAAAGTAGAGGATCAATTACACAGTTAAAATGCAAACAAACTTGAGAAATGGTTCTATCCCAAATGGTAAAACACTCTACTGCTAAACAGCAACTGTTTGGCTAGTTTCTGGCGAGTAATCTGACCCTGGATTACTTAAAATAGGTGTTCGTAAATAACTGTTTTTCAAAGCAAGATTCTCTAGAACCCTGAGTACTTAACAAAACAAAGACAACACAAAAACCACAACCGAATGAAGCTCTCGGGGTGGACTACATCAGACTCCCTGGAACAGACAGCAGGATCTGCATTTTAAGAAGTTCCCCGACAGGGAAAACACACACACACACACACACACACACACACTCTCTCTCTCTCTCTCTCTACAGGATCAGTGAATGCCTAGGGATTCCAATGCAGAAATACTATAGTACCAAGGCCAGGAATAATAGAGCCAAATAAAACCCAACACGTTACACAGTGATATGAAGCATGTAAGCTTCCAATGAGCTTCTACCTACGACCCGGAAAGGACATGGAGAGACAAAGCGTAAAACCAGAAGTATCCCCCAGACTAATAAGGGTGAGTAGAAACTTGAATTCCTGGGGAAAGTGTTGGATGAGCACCAAACACAAAACCAACAAGCAAATCGAGAAGGGGAAGGAGAGAAAGGACACGGCTGTGGGTGTCATCGCAAGTGGTCTGCCTCAGCGGCCCTCCCGGCGCCCAGAGCCTCCCCACGACCACATCATTTTATTCATCCTTTTGGTGTCAACCACCATCAGGGGGCGCTACTTCCACTCTCGTGATGGACCACCTGTGGGCTGCGGGGGCGATTTTCTGCCCCAGGCTCTGGGGTCATCTGAACCTTGGCCGCTCAGGGGTACATCATTTGCAAAGCTGTGCAATAATGTTGCCTTCTGGAGCATTTCAAACATGCAAGTCTGTGTTCAGAGTCAGACCGAGCCTCTCAGGTGACGGGCGTGCTAGCCGGGCTCACGCAGCTGTCCAGAGTGCCATGCAGGCCACCAGGCGGAAACTAAGTTGTGTCGTGAAAATGTCTGACTGTGCCACTTCCCGATTCTCGGGCTTTGCTATGGGAATAAAAACAAACCTAAAAGATGAAGCGATTCAGAGGAATGCAAACACGTGTATGCGTCCCGGTCTCGGGGCCAGCTCGCTGCGCCATATCTGGGGACGGTGTTTCCGCGAAGCAGCGGCCTGGAAGGATTCCAAGCAACTGGCTGAACCAAACAAGATGGCTGACGACAAAAAGGGACTTCGCCTCTGATTCTCAGAGTCTGGATAACGGCTCAGGTGGAAGTTTAAAAATGCACATCTATCTGCAACATTTAGAAACTTAGAAGAAAAAAAGACTGCTCCACTTTTGATATTTTGAAACCTAAAGTGAAAGCAATTTTTTTTCTTTTCTCCTGCATTCCTCAGGATATAAACGATGTGAAATCATCTAGAAAAATAATTTTCCCCTTAGAGATCAAAGTTCAGAAAGTGAGTGAGGTCAAATCAAGTAAGTAGAGACTGAATGATCCAACCAGAATCCAATTTACATTAAAAAACCAAGGGGCGGGAGGGAGAGCCTGGGTGGCTCAGTTGTTTGAATGTCTACTCGACTTCCAGTCAGGTCAGGCTCTCAAGGTTCCTGGGATCAAGCCCCAAGCTCCGCGTTAGGCTCTGCGCTGAGAGCACAGGGCCTGCTTGGGATTCTCCCCTCCTTTCTCTCTGTCCCTCCCCCACTTGCACTTTTTCTCTCTTTCAAAATAAATAAATAAAAACATTAAAAAAAAAAAAAAAACATGGGGCGCCTGGGTGGCTTAGTTGGTTAAGCGTCCGACTTTCGCTTAGGTCATGAACTCGCGGTTCGTGGGCTCGAGCCCCGCGTCGGGCTCTGTGCTGACTGCCAGCTCAGAGCCTGGAGCCTGTTTCAGAGTCTGTGTCTCCCTCTTTCTCTGACCCTCCCCTCCTCGTGCTGTCTCTTTCTCTCTCCTAGAAATAAATAAAAAACATTAAAACAAAAACAAAAACAAAAAGACCAAGGGGGGCCTGGCGGGCCCAGTGGGTGGGATGTGTGACTCTTACAAGTGGGCCTTACTTAAAACAAAGAAAAACAAAAGCCTAATGTAAACAAAAATCCCACCAATTCAAGAACAACCCCCCAAAAACCCAAAACAAAGGAACGCTGTTAAACACACTTCTGGATTCTTGACTGATACTATCAGTTTCAACCACAAGACCCTACAGGCAGATGAGAACGGAGGCCGCCGTCATCACAAGCAGTGACACAAACGGGTGCTTCAAGTCACCCTTCTGTGGTCTGTAAAAATGGTGCCACGTTTTCCTTTTGCTCTTGTTGCTCTGGGTGAGGTTTCTCGGGGGTGGGGGGGCTAGGCAGGTGGGGGCTGACCCTACAGAACCTCCATTTCATTCTTCCCATGGCCTCGGGGACTCTCCACGAATGCTGACTGACCCCTTACACGGCGGTGTCAGAACAGGAAGAAATGGAGGGAGCCAACGTGTGACATGAGGGTCATGGCTGCCTGCTTACCGCCATCCCTCACTGAAACTGCTGCGGTACCAGCAGCGTCCGTCATGTGTGAACATTCATGGCTACCAAGAGGGCGGCTCACGGAAGGCACCTGACACGCTGGTGGCTAGCAGCCACCACCCAACACCCCTAATGGTTTCAGAAAGGGCAAGAACTCCACGTCCGCGTGCGGCCCCGCCCACTTGGCCACTAAGCACCCGGGTGGCACGGGTGGCACGGCAGCCCCAGGCGACTCCGGTCGGCAAGGCCACGCTGGCACTCGGCAGAGATACTTACTCTGCGGATAGGTGTGGAGGTGGGGAAGGGTCCGGGACCGCCGAAACGCTTTTTGGGAGCACACTGCCCCTCAGGCGAGCTGGCCGGAGGAGAAGAAGCCCCGGACGAGGGGCTAAGAACAGAGTCTTCCTCAGGGCTGGACTCAGGCATCTCGCCATCAGGGGACCCGCCCCGGGGTGCAGGTGCCATGGGAGACAAGGCTCGGGGAGGCTTTGCAGCCAGGATGTCCTCCAAGACCACCACGGGCACCTTCCCTTTGAACAGGATGCCCCTGGCGCCACTCCAGCCGTCCTGGTCCTTCTCAGAGCGTGTTCTCAGAGCCGCCGTCGGCTCGGGGCAGCTCTGAAGGGGGCCCTCCTGCCCATCTCCGCTCGTCTCCACACCACCGGAAACAGCACCCTCCTTCTCCGCTTTACATGGAATGTCCAAAAGGGTCTCTTCAGGACACGCCAGCTCGTCCTCCATACTGGCCTCCAGCAGCCCTCGCTCCCCTCTGGCTTCCACTCCGACCCCACTTACGGCCTCCTCGGAGGGAGAGGCTGCAGACTTTAGTTTTCTATGGGCCACGACACCATCTAGCTGGTCGCTCAAGTCCTCCGTCAAATCAACGATGACCATGGTCTGGTCAAGACTGGTTTTGACTCCACTTCTTAAAAAGGTGTCTAAGGGACCTTTCCCATTGACAAGTTTTGGACTAAAATCTATGTCAGAACCCATATGACAGCTGTTGTCCAAGTTGTCCAAAGAGGTCTCGAGATCAGGGACCCGACTCTGTGCAGGAGCACCCTCAGGGCTCCTCGTGTCATCCGTCCCGTCCTCACTTTTCTCCTTTGGGACAAGGTTCAGGCGCTTGAAGGGCAGACGAGCTGAAACAGAAAGGGCCGTCGTTACAGAGGAAGGGCGAGAACAGAGAGAGGGCCGTCTTTACAGAGGAAGGGTGGGGAGCAGCAGCCCATCAGCACTTTGATATTCCACATGCTCAACAAGTAGCAGCCTTGCTGGGCTTGAGCTGGGGCTGAGGGGATTTCTCTAGAAAACACTCCTGTTCTCAGGGCCACAGGGGCCCCTGCCCCTACTCCCCTCACCCCAGACCCTGCTGCCCTCAACAACCAAACTTGCAATCTGTCATCATGGGAGGAGGGAAGCAGCCACAGGGGAATCAAATACTGAGTTTTAAAAACCAGAAGCCATAGTTCTGTATACGGTCCCGTCTGGCCTGCGGGTAAATACACCGCCCTCTCCCACAAAAGGGCGCGGACGCGTTTCTCTTCCCGTACACTGGTTCAAGCTGGGGCAGGTGCACCTGCCAGAGAGGATGTCTGGGAAGTCTGGAGATGTCACTGGCTGTCATGACATGGGCGAAGTGACCCGGGACGCCACTAAACTCTACGATATACAGGACAGCCCTGCACTGTGACAAAAATGACAGAAAGTCAATACAGCTGAAGGAGAGAAACCCTGAGAAAGGCACTGACCACTGGATTTGCTCCTGGGAACCTAAGAAACCAGTAAGCAATCAAATGGGTTTCCTAGCTTCCGAGTGGAAGGTGCAACTCTTTATCTCCGCCCCCCAGTCCCCTTAATGCTCCCGCCGAGGACCCCAACAGAAGGCCTCTCCTCCAAGGAAAGTAAAAGTACAACTGAGGAGACAATGAAGGATATAAGTTGGGAACAGTATTTAACCCCTTCCCAGAACGTTACCTTGTATTAACTTCTTGACTGGAAAAGCTGGTCTGTCTTTGCAATCCATGGCTGTGAATAAAAGTGTCAAAGAACAAGTTATTAGAAGTTGGAAATCACAAAGTGGTAAATACATATGCACCACCCAATATGTCCCAAGCGGTTGTCCTGTGGCATTTTTTTGGGGTCACCCCTACCCCCAGGGCCTTTGGCAATGTTTAGGGAAATTTTTGGTGGTCTTGGGATGGGGGGGGGACATCTAGTGGGTAGAGGACAGAGATACTGCTAAATATCCTAAAATACACAGATAGCATCCATGACAGAATTTTCTGTCCAAAATGTTAATTGGTCGAGAAATTCTGCTCAACAGTGTCACATCTTCTCATCTCCTTGGGGCACGTATCACTCTGAAACTTACATTGTTTACTATGTCTCCCTCCTAACAGAAAGCCTATGACAACAGGGCGGTCTATTTCATACTATGTCCTTGGCACTTCACTCAGAACTGGCATGAGTTCAGTAACAGGGACAGCAAAGGGGAACGATGGGGCACTTGCTGGCTCAGTTGTGGGGTATGCAACTCCTGATCTCAGGGTTGTGGGTTCAAGCCCCAGGCTTGGTGTAGAGATTACTTAAGAATAAAATCTTTAAAGGGGCGCCTGGGTGGCTCAGTCGATTAAGCATCCAAATCTTGATTTCGACTCAGGTCGTGATCTCTTGGTTCATGAGATCAAGCCCCAGTTCAGGCTCTGCACCAACCACGCAGAGCCTGCTTGGGATTCTCTCTCTCTCTGCCCCTCCCCTGCTCGCACCGTTGTTTCTCTCTCTCCGTTTCAAAATAAATAAAATTTAAAAATAAAATATTTAAATAAACAAAATGGGAATGAGTGGAAAGATGAAAGAAAATACTGCATGACCAGTTTCACCATTAAAGTCCCCAAAATGTTCTCAAATCCAACCCCTCCCTACTACCAACTCTATAAAATCAGAATAGGGCTTATTTTGTTTTAAAATAAGAGTCTATAGGGGCGCCTGGGTGGCTTAGTCGGTTAAGCGTCCGACTTTCGCTTAGGTCATGATCTCGCGGTTCATGGGTTCGAGCCCCGCGTCGGGCTCTGTACTGACTGCCAGCTCGGAGCCTGGAGCCTGTTTCAGTCTGTGATTTCCTCTCTCTCTGACCCTCCCCTGCTCCCGCTGTCTCTCTCTCTCTCTCTCCTAGAAATAAATAAAATATTTAAAAAAAATAAAAATAAAAATAAAATAAGAGTCTATAAACATAAAACACTTTAGAGCATGTTGAGCTTGCCAGGCAGGAGCTGAAGTCCTGTCAGGAAGTAAGGGAGAATGCTTTCCTGCATTTGGAAAAAAAAAAATCTCAAGAACAGAATCTGAGAATATCAAAGCTGATACAGAAATGACTGCAAGTAGAACTAAGTCTTTAGGGAAAAATATCCTTAAATCAGTTAGAATAAGTTTAGAAACTGACACCTGCTAGCATATATCTGGCTTGAAAAAAAACTCAGGTTATTCGGGGACAGCCTAGCCCACCCAGGGATCCAGACTGTTCAAAGGGACACGTACAATCCACACGCACTCGTGGGTTGTCACCAATGCTCTTTATTCTGAGACTACACCCCTCCTAATTGTATTTAGCACTTAAACATCCCTTCCTTTTTTGACAGGATGGTCAGAGTAGGTAACGCTTTTTAAACTTTTTGATTAAACATTCTTACGAGATCAGATGACTCAGCCCCAGCTTTATTTATATGAATTTAAGGTCTCCGTGAAATTTCAAAGTCTGAAAACAATCAGAGCAACGGTTCCCAACTAGGGGCGATTCTGCACCCCATCCGCCACCAGGGACCCCTTAGCAATACTTGGATACATATTTGGTGTCACGATTAGGGGAAAAGGGTTCGTACACGGATCTGATGGGTGGAGGCCATGGGTGCTACTCAACATCCAAGGGTCCACAGGACGGCCCCCAATGTCAACACTGCCCAGGTCAAGAAACCCTGCATTAGACTAGTTGATTTCCTGATCAAGCCCTACGTATCTATCGGGCACCTACGAGGTGCCAAGCATTGCGTCAAGTACTAGGGATACAGTGGGAGTCGAGCAAGGTGGCCAGGCAGTCCCGTCGTCCTCGGTTCGCCATCAAACGTTTCGGAGGCCCTACCAGGTGTCAGGAAGCCCCCTCCCTGGGCTGGGTGGGGGAGGGGAAGACAGGTCTTCACCTTGGCACAGCGGGCAAGCTCAAGAACCCGGGAGTCCCAGCTCCCTGGCGATCCCACCAGCCGGGCCTCTTACCTGGGCTTGCCCTGAGCCGCAGACGCAGCTGTTCTGGTCCCCGAGCCCGTGGGACCCCCGGCCTCAGTTTCCCCACCCGGCCAGAGGGCCGCTGCACAGGCCAACTTGCTCTGGGGACAGAAACGCACTCGGCAACCTGCAAAGCCAGCCCTTTCGCCTCCCTGGGCCTCAGTCTCCCCTCCTGGCCACAGCGGCCCGTCACCGCGGTGAGCCCTGGAAGGACTTGAGTGACGCAAAAGCGCCGGAGAAAAGAAAAATGGTCGCGGCCGCAACAATAACGTCAAGGAGGGCGCCCTTCGGGTCGCGAATGCCCTCGCTCAGCCTGTAACGGCCGCACCGACCGAACGCCCGCCGAAGAGGAGCGGGGCCGAGAGGCGCGTCCGCCCCCAACCGCCACCTCGGCCTGCGCAGGCCGCGCGCCGCGCCCCCCCTTCCCCTCGGCGCGGGCCCGAACCGACCTGCGGCCGCTCCCCTGGCGCCCGGCGCCCCGCACTCCAGTTCCTCCAGCATCGCCCCGGCGGCGGCTCGAGCTCCCCTCTGGCGGCAGAGGCGCGGGCTCCGTTCAGGCGGCCACTGCCGCTCGCCCTCCCGCCCGCGCCGCTGCTGCCGCGGCCGCCGAGCTCGTATTTGGCGGGAACCGCGGCGACCCCCGCAGCCCGCGCGGCGATTGGGCGAAGCCGCGTCACGTGACAGCCCGCCTCGGGAAGAAGGGAGCGCCGGGAGCATCCTCGCGAGAGTCGCGGCTTCTATTCCTCCCATGGTTCCCCTATTGATATTCCCGCGGAGGACCCGGGCTTCCTCTCGGCCGCCTTGTCATTGGCGGGGAGGAGGTGCCCTGCGATTGGAGGCAGAAGATGTCAAGCCGAGAGTTCGACACTGTGATTGGCTGAGCCTGTGGGATAGGCCCGCAGGAGGAGGGAGGGCCAGGCTCCTACGTCATGACGAAAAGTTTTACGTAGGGTGACGGGTGACAACCTGAAACTGCGGTTTGCATTGAGAGCGAAGTTACTGGTTTTTCCTAATTGGACATCGGCTGAATATAGCAACAGAAATTAAAACGATAAGTTTCTTTTTATAGGAACAACAAACAGAAAATGTTACATTCAGAAAAAAATGAAAGTTATAAAAATATAAAGAGTATACCAAATAAAGGTAAATTCTGTGCAGCGCTGTAGAAGCATTTAATATGCACTAATTATGTTCAGAGCGAATGAATGAAATGGATCTTTCTGATTTAATCCCCAGGATCTTTGCAAACGCTGTTTCCTCACCTAGAAAACTCTGCAGCTCTTTTCCTGCCTAGTTTCTACCTAACTTTCAGATCTTAGATCCGCAGCTCAGGAGAGCCTTTTCTCCCCTACAAGGGAGATGGAAATTCCTTACGAGCAGGGGTTTTTTCCTTGAAGCGATTACAGCTTATGCTTGTTGATTAGTGCACGATTTATTATTTATTGTTATGTCACCAGCTCCATGAGAGCAGGAATAATGTATCAATGTATCCCCAGGACCTCTCCGTGACTGATACACTAGCAAATGCTCAACAAATAGTCACTGAGTGAATGCATAAACTTCATTTGATTGGATTGTGTGATCATTTAGGTTAAAAGCCTCCCACAGAATAGAGGTCTTCAATGTCAACCTGGGAGCCTTAGAGTAAGTTTTCTTTAGCTCCATTTTAATCTGTCAAACAGAGAAGTGATGAAAGAAGACTGAACCTTAGCCCAATTTTGGAATTCTATAGATTCTATAGATTGGATAATTAAAGCTGAATTCTTTGAAAGTAATGAGAAAGAGGGAATTTAGGAAGATCACTTTGGGAAAGTCATGTCTTACTCAAGGCCTGAGTTTCCCCATATGAATCATGACATTCTGGCATTAGGCAGTGATTTAAACAGTGGATCACCGTTGAGGGTCCCTTTCAGAATCATGTGGGGAATTTAAAAAAAACTATTCATAGTAGTCTCATCAGGACCTTTGGGAGGAAGGTTGTGGCATACATATTCTGAAACAATCCTCCACCTAGTGCAGTACCTTCTGTTGAGGTATTTGGTTCCAGCAATCTTTGCTTGAGAAAAGCACCCAACTCTGTCAGAGATTTCAGTGCTGAAGTTGCAAAGACTTTAGCTCTAGCACTTTCTTGTTCCTCTTTTGGGATTAACTTATCCATTCCAATTCATTATTAACTTCCAATTAATTGAATTTAAAAAAAGCCTGATTTGAAAACTATCGAGTAACATGTATCAATCTGGGAAGACTTCCTGAAGAAGGTGACACTCCAAACAGATTTCTCTTTTACACAAAGAAGCAGGGGAAAAGGTTGGGGAGAATATGTAAGAAAAGAACAACATTAGCAAAGGGCGAGAGGAAACAGGGCTCGTGGATTATAGGAAAGGAAGAGAGCTGACGTCAGAAGGGTTGATGGAGCCAAAATGGGCAAGCTTTGTACGTAGGCCATGCTACGAAGTTGAGTGTATTCTGAGGACAGTAGAGAGATATGATAGAAATTGTGTTCTAGACCATCTCTGCGGCTGTTTTTCAGGGGGAAAATTAGAGAGAGAGAACCTGCAGGTGGGCATACCAGAAGGAGGCTGGTGGGATGGTCTGGTCAGGGCAAGGAGGACGGTGGGGATGGGAAGGAGAAATGACACCCTGATGTCTGACTTGGGCAGCTGAATGGGTGAGCACCTTGCAGGGCTGGAGGCGGTGTGTGTGGGAGGGACTAAACGCGCAGAGAATTGGGTTAGCTGAGATTAGCAAACAGATAATCTGGAGATCTGTAAACCCAGCCTCCCAACCTCTCCAGGATTTAAGCGCCTTTCCTTAAAACGTTAGGACTCCCTCCGGGACGCCAGGGATCGCTGCAGCCTCCACGGAGTCTCTAGGCTCCCTCCTGTCGGCTCGCTGGCGGAGGCGGACTCCACAGGCGAAGTGCGCGTGCGTTCTCTGGCCGGCAGGGGGCGCGCGTGCGCAGTAGGGGCCGGGGGCGCGCGCAAGCCGGCACCGGAAGTGTGCGGTTGCCATGTAATATCCTGGCCGCGCGGGCGCGCGAGGGGCCGAGGCGGCGCCGGGGCGCGCGCGGAGCTGGCGAGAGGGCGGTGGAGGCGGCGCCGAGGGGGCCCGCCGAGGCGCGCGGGGTATCGGCGGCGTCCGGGAGCCTGTCGCTTGCGCTGTCCCTCCGGTTCGCTGAGTCCGGGCGGGAGCCCCCACGACGGAAGGCAGCATGTCGGTGGCGGGGCTGAAGAAGCAGTTCTACAAGGCGAGCCAGGTGAGCGGAGGCCGAGGCGGGGAGCGAGCCTCGGGCCCCGGGCTGCCCAGAGTCAGGGGTCAGACCAGGCCCGACCCTGACTCGGAGGTGGGCAGGGGGGGCCGTGGGCACCGAGGGGGCGGCGTTGGCACGCGTCCCCCGTTGGGTGGGCAGAGGTCGGGAGGGACAGGGGCTGCAAGCGAGGTGACCCAGGCCCAGCCCGCCATGTGGGCTCCAGTCTCCTCGAGGAGGGTGGGCAGACCCCCAGGAGCGGCAGAAACGCACCCAGAGGTTGACCCGGGTCTCGGACCTCCCTTCCCCTCCCCTCCCCTCCTGTGAAAGGGCAGGGAGGGAGGAGAGAGAGAAGGGGAAGAAACGCTCCCGAGGCTGTCGACACGGGACTCTTGCCAGAGAGCCCAGGGGCAGGGAAACTTTGCGTCTGTCCCGAGTGTTCTTTAAAACAAACAGTCAAAAAACCCCTTTGATGGGGCGCCTGGGTGGCTCAGTCGGTTAAGCGGCCTACTTCAGCCCAAGTCGTGATCTCACCGGTCAGGAGTTCGAGCCCCGTGTGGGGCTCTGTGCTGACGGCTCAGAGCCTGGAGCCTGTTTCAGATTCTCTGTCTTCCTCTCTGACCCTCCCCCGCTCACACACTGTGTCTGTCTGTCTGTCTGTCTGTCTGTCTCTCGCTCAAAAAAAAACCATAAAAAACACACACAAACCCTTTGATGGACCCGGTGCGAGGTCGGGAAAGGGTAGAACGGAAAGTCAGTGTCCCCCTCTGGTCCCTTTGGCATCCAGCCCCTTTCCCCAGTGGCAAGGGCTGTCCCCGACGATTCATGTCTCCCTCCAAAGATGGGTTACAGCTTTCCCTTAAAACCACACTCGCATAGTGGGAACTAGTCTACAGAGTCCTTTGTGCTTTTCCTTAAATGAGTCTTCAGATCGTTCTCTCTGTTGAGGGAGCAGCCTGGGGCTCACCCACTTGATACCAGGAGTACCCCCCCCATCCTGACAGCACAGATATCTCTCTGTGCTGCCAGTTGTCCCCGGGGGAACCGCCCTGTCCCCCTACCCCAGAGCCACTGCACTAGAACAGACCCCTAGAGTTTCTTTGGTCTTTTAATGGACTCGTGGTTCACTAGTCATCTACTGGTGGATGTTTAGACTGTTGCCAGTTGTTTTGTGCCAACAATTCTGCTGTGAATGGCCAGCGACTGTCTGTGGTCACAGGTGGGATTGGATTTACAGGATAAACTCCCAGAAGTGGAATTCTGAAGCCCAGTCGTAGTCGTGTGTGTTCCACGTGACCGATAAGCGTGTTTTGGAACGGCCAGGCCCCCATTGCTCATTAACCTGGCGAAAGCTGGGGATCCGCTCTCCAGAAAACTGGGCACGTGAGAAATTCAGTTTATGAGTTCAGATCCAAGAAGCCCCTGGTTCCTTGAATCCTGCTGGTTCCGCCAGCCCAGGTTCAGAACCTTAGGTGCGGAGTTTCTGTGGACAGAGTCCACGGATGAATGAGCCAGCATCGAGGGATTGTGTGGACCCTGCTGGCCAGCAGGCCTCTGCCCACAGTTTGGAGGAGTCCACTGGGAGGGAAGAGAAATGCGTCCATAGAACACAGCGGGTACCTTTTGTCCCTTGTTGGAAACAGTCATGACCCTGGTGTTTGGGGCAAACCCTGGATGATGGCTAGCCCCTGAGGAGACTAAATCCAGAGGGGTTCTAGGGTTATTGCTGAGGGCACGGCCCTGTGCCCCAGAGGGATGGGATTAAGTAATGTGGCCGGGGTTTGTCCCTGCCCCACAAGCACCGGGCCCCTAGGGCCTGACCCGAGCACCTGGGAGTGATGCTTGCTGCCTTGGACCTTGATGTGGTCCGTTCCGCAGAAGCCCGCTCCTCCCAGCGGCCAGGGCCCATGCTGGTGGCCCCCACTGTCCCACGCAGACACGCTCTGCCGGAGGAGCCAGCTGGGCCGCTCAGGCCAGCCCCCAGGGCTCTTGCTCTTGGGGAAGCAGGGCGGCCTGCATTCAGACCTGTGAGAAACATGTCAAAACCTGGAGAGCACAGCGTGGACCAGGTTGTGATCGCGCCCTTCCGCGCGGCCCGTCCCCAGAGAATTGCCGCGACGGCCACATCCAGCTCTGGGAGCAGGGGTCTTGGCCCCCTGATCCTGTCTCTGCAGAGCCGTGCTCTCCAGAATCGTGCTGGCCGGGCTCCATGCTCTTCTGCAGTAGTTTCCACAGTCCCCTGGCCTCTCTGTCTGTCAGGACAAGTCCATCATCTCCTGTGCGTTTCTTTTCTGTGCTCAGGGACCTGCTTTTCACCCTCTTGTCCTCAGAACAAGGTCAGCTGTTGAGGAGCGCGCCGTGTACGGGTAGGAGGAGGCAGCCGATGCCGTGGAGCTCCTGCGCAGTGGCCGGCGGTGGGCTGGCAGCCGGCCGGTCACAGCAGCTCTCACCCGGCATAAGTGTAAACGCCTTCCCCTTGTTACGCAGAAAGACTTGGGGACATTTATCGTTTGCTCTCCAGGGGACATTGGCAATATCTGGAGACGTTTTTGGTTGTCACAACTTGGGTTCCTGTTAGAATGTAGTGGGTGGAGGCCAGGGGGGCCGCTTGTCACCCTGTCACGCCCTGGGCAGCCTCCACAGGCAGCAGCTCTCTGCGCCCAGACGTCAGTAGAGGTTGAGAAACTGCTTTAAGATTTGAGACAAGTGAGAATAATTCCAACAAAACCAACAAACCAATACAACAACAGATTTCTCCTGGGCCATTCTCGTGACAGCTGCCTGCTTCCCTTAGTTTCCAAAACACAGAGAACCAGGCAGACGCGTAGGTAAAACTCAGCACCCAGAGCCCCCGCTGTTAGGACCCCAGGGCTTCTTTTGGCCTCTGGTATTTTTAAGAAGGTCTAAGCTTGCATCTCGGTTCTCAGCTGGGGCCACTGACCCTTCCCCGTGCCCTCCTAGGGACATTTGGCAATGCCTGACACGGTTTTTGGTTGTCACCACTTGGGGAAGGGGTGCTGCTGGCATCCAGTGGGTAGAGGCCGGGGCTGGTTGCTAAACACCCTCAGCACACGGCCAGCCGTGCCCACAACAGACGGTTCGTTCTTCAGCTCCGTCAGTAGTGCGGAGGTTGAGAAACTGCTTTGAAACAGGTTCTTCATTTCAGAGGCTTGTAACAATGTTGTTTCCGAACTGAGAACTAGAAGCAGGTGGGTGTGGAGAGCGAGGGGCAATGCTTGCTTCCTAGCAGCTGAAGCTGGGATGTTAATGAAAAGTTTCTGATCTCACTGACATGCCGGTAACAAACCAGTCATTAGTATCTGGCAAAGTCCGTGCCAGTTCACCTCAGTGAGAATGTTCGAGTCTTGTATAAGGCGGGTTTGGGCTCGAATGGGAGGTTTGTGAGCTTTTACTTGTTGTGAAGTGGCTGCTGCTGGGCTGAGGCACGTGAAGGATCTGTGGCGGAAAATGCTGGAAGGGCCAGGCATCTGTCTGGGGCCTCAGTCCTACCACCCATTCGGTACTTATGTATATGTAGATGCTTTAATCTGAGTGTTTCTGGGCACCGAAGGAGGGTTAGGGGACCTCACTAGCAAGATCGAGACTCGGAAGTTCATTTCTCACTGTAAAGGGCGTTCATTTCCAGACTTAAACTGCTAACTGGTTTCTGATAATTCTCGTGGCCTGGCCAGATTTGAGAGTGTAACTGGGGATAGAGCTGGCAGCCGCCTGGAATGCTGGCTTGCCTTTTTTTTTCCCTTTTCTTTCTCTCTCTCTCTCTTTGGCCTGAAAGGAGGGAGAGAGTGTGAACTGCAAGATTGGCTCCATCAGAGCCAGGAGGAAAAGTCATGACTGCCATATCCCAGAGCTTTGAAGTTCACTGCATGCTTGCTAGGCCCTGGGTTTGTGCCGAGGAGGAAAGATCAGCCTTCCTTTGAGAGGCATGAGGTGGGGAGAGGGCTGGGGCACCCAGGACCCCAACATTTATAGTAATTAGTATCGGGGGGATGTGGCTGGTGTTTGGAACGTCCCCAGATACTGCCTGCTCTGACCTATTTTTTAAACCTTATTGTGTGGAAAGGTTGTGATTTCCTAGAAAAAGGGTTTGGCCTGTTAAGTAATGAACATGCAATGAGTGATCTTAGATGCAAAAAATCTGGAATGCGTAGCTCCCTCATCAGCGGGGATAAAAGCATAGAACCTATGTGCTGAGAGCGACAGGCAAAATGGGGTCCCTGCCCCAGGCCCTTGAGCTCAGCAGCTGCAGACTAACTGCTGGAGACCGTCTGCCTTGGGGCCGCAGACACAGGGATGGCTTTGGTTGCTGCCATGTCCACGTGAGAGGGCAACTAGGTTCTGTCCAACTTTGCCGAAGCCGCTCTGCCAACTCCCCTTGTAAGAAGACCCTTGAACTAGCGACATCCCCATGGGACCGTGGACAGATGTTCCCATCCTGTTCCATTGGTGGATAGGCCAGCCTGACCTTTCCTCCCTGCTTGGGCCAGCCAGCTTGCTGGGTGGGTAGAGTGACCAGCCTGGTGTTTCAGGCCTGGGCTGTGGGGCTGCAGAGCGGGTGTGAGACCGCCCTCCCCCAGAGGGACCTGGGACCCCCTTAAGCCCCTCCACTTCCCAGCCTGTCTGTGACGCTGGGTGAACCTGACCGCCTCCCCAGGACCCTGTTCACCGTTGTGAAGGCTCTGTAGCCAAGCAGCCCCGTGCACGTTCTGGTTAACAAACCAGCACTAAGAGGGCATCGTGTTCCAATTCTGCCCCCGCCCCCCGTGCCTGCCGAGCGAGCGTGAGGTGGCAAGTTCGCCTCTGACTCAGAACCTTGTGTTGATTAAAGAGCAGTGGGCACGCCTGGGCGCTCTTCTCCCTGCTTAGCTGGCTCTGTGAGGGCGGAGCCAGGGGGCACTTAATTACAGTCTTCGTGCCTCTAAGTAATAGCGTGAGGGGTGAGGAGTTTCGTAGCAGCTCCTGTTCAGGTTCAGAAACTGAGGGCTGGGTAC